GTGGTGGTCAGCAAACGCAAAACAGTATCCAAGCCTGACAGAATTCGCTAAGATTTATCTATCGTCTCCCAGCAGTAGTGTATATAGTGAGAGGCTATTTTCAGAAGCAGGTATAGTTTATGAGGAAAAGCGCAATCGTTTGCTATCAACAAATGCTGAAAAAATTGTTTTCATTCATTACAACTTACCACTGATAGATTTTAAGTATTAAATGTAATAATTTATGATTAAAATAAATACGTTTTTGAGTAATATGTGCGGTTTTTTTTTCATGATTTGGTATTCGGTATTCGGCCGAATGTTGCGTACTATTCGGCCGAATACCGAATATTAAAAAAAGTAGCCGAATACCGAATAGTAGCCGAATATTCGTGGCATCTCTACAATAAATAATTCCGAACAGAAACGCGCGGACCACACGAATAGAAATATAGATCAAATGATCAGGCAGATACAGGAACAATTAAACGAATTAAGGCGACAGCGAAGCCAAAGAAACGGATATGGAAATAGAAATACTTCATTTGCGCGGCAAAATAGCTATCGAAATGCTAGAAATAGATTTAGCGAACAACGAAATGACTCAAGAAACATAATAGGCGGTGTGCGAACTCAAAGAACTAAAGTCCAAAAACAAACAAGAAACAGAACAGGCGGTTCAAGGACAGAGTGGAGATGTCGAACAAATCAACCTCAACATCAGATACAGCGGTATGCGAGAAGGAACAACCGGAACTGGCGAGAAAATAAGGAAAATTATAGATGGGAGAGACAAAAGCCATATGAGATCAAAATCTCGAGATTCCATGAAACAAGAACTTATCCGAAGGATAGAAAGCTAGATGAAGAGCCGACACTACATTGTCAAATCAATGATGCGAAGACGCAATTAGCTGTAGACACAGGCTCGGAAGTAACATTATTGTCAAGGTCCCTAGTTCAGAAATTAGGCAACCTTCACAGAGACTATGCTAGAAAAGATATTCTGTTCCGGAGCGTTACTGGACACAAAATTTATCCACACGGAAGAAGTGAATTCCGATTCAAAATCGGCCCTCTACAATTTGATTACACATGCTACATCGTCGATGATCGAATCACGTATCCATTCGACTGCTTACTAGGAAGAGATATAATTACAGACTTGAAGTTAGGTATACATATGGCGGACGAAACAATAATACTTCCCGATGGAAGAGGAATAAGCTTCCAGGAGCCCTACGAGCCAAGTGAGAAATCAAACCGGGTACGAGCAAAAAGGACCACCACTAACAGAAAAGCTGTTGTTCGAGTCGTCCGATCCTATGAAAACGTAATAGAAGGAGAGAAAATTAAAGATAGACATCAAGAACCACTAGAACCTAATAAAAGTCACATTCCTAAAAAGATGAAAAAAAGGGTGAAGAAAACGATACGATCCTCAGAAGGAAAGGGTAACGAACCAATCTCAGTTCCCCCGACGAGAAAGGGACAAAAGTTAGAAACAAGGAGCCATTCAGAACCGGAACCAACTCCTATATCCACCCAAGTAGCAGCAAGAAACGGGAACAATCAAAGTCAACCAGAAGCAACTAAGAAACAAGAAAAGCACCTGGAATCCGAAAGTAGCAATCAACCAGTAGGCCTGAATTTGTTGCTCAAAGCTATAATGATCCTTTTCACTATGATGCTTACAATTTTAGGCATTCCATTGTTGCCCGTAGTTATTTTTCCGAAACATTCAACCTCGCCACAAAGTCAAAGAACGCTAGACACAACGCTGACTACAATGCTACATCCGCCGCAAAGCCGCATACCCGTCAGAAACTCGTCTCCCACACACACAAATAAAGTCCGACTGAAACCAAATCAGAAAAAAAAAATGCTCGTGACCATTAGCAGAATTAATTAGGGAGCACAACAGCCCACTATCAAGCGAAAAAAACAGTGAACCGATCAAACAGGGGATAATCAAAATCTATTAATAGATAGGAAAAACAACGCGTGTCGTAGAACTTCCGCGAAAAATAAAACAAAAGATGAGAGAGAGTAAATCGTAAATTTTATTTTGTTGTATGAAAGTATCGAAAAAAAAACATTTATAGTCGGAAAAATATGAATGAAAAATAATTGTCGAAATAAAAGATGAATGAGAAGCAATTGAACTACGTTGCAATTCAAAAAAAAAAAAAAAATTGTCGGAAGTTGTTGATTATATTGATAATGTTGATATCGGAAGTAGAACGATTTTTGTAAAATTTAATGACGACATTTTGTTAATGTTACTATAATTTGTCAGAGAGAGAGAAATTTTTTCATTGTAATTGAAGACATACAACAAAGTGAAAATCGAACTTGCTCTTTTGGGAACAAGCACGATTTTGGAAAGGCCGGGATAATGTGAGAGTCGAGTTTAGTGAATAAATTCGTTAAATAAAATTTTTGTTAAGGGAGGAAAAGGAAAAAAATTTTTAACTTCATACTGCTATAAAAAAAGAACATAAAAATCTTTTCCCACGAACTTAGTTCCTTGTCAAGTATGATACATCGAATGTGTCACCCGAAATCACGAAAAAGACAATTGGTCAAGAAAAAAAACCAGTCCTAATAGGGCAGTGGAAAAACCCAACGAGACCCCCTTCATAAAAAGGAGGGGTCGATACGTAAGAGTCAGTCTCTGGAAATTTGTGCGCACTGTGTTTTTTACAAAAACGGATAAGTCACTACCAGAACTCATCTAATCGCCGCTGTTCGAAAGGACTACGCCCGACAACGTTAGGAAGAACTTTGTGCTACTTGAAAAACGTTTCAACGTTCGAAAGAACTTTGTGAAGACTAATCAACAATTCAACCCAAGATTAATCAACGATTCAAACCAAGGTATTTATCCTCGCGCAAAATATATGTGAGCTCTCTCTGTCAGGAATACGGGTAACCGAAAAAACTTAGATATGTTAATTAACCCAATTATATATAGCTATTGCGATTGTATATAGTATGAACAATAAACGGGTATTACGTCTAGATGAGTTAGAGTGTAATTCCTCTGGTTCTCTCGGTACGTCTCCATCCCGGAACTAGATGTCCACAACGCGACCGTTCGCGTAACCAAATAAACGGCCAATAAAATTTTTCTGTGTCTACTACAAGACACAGTGGTGTCATCCTGACAGGGCGCCAAAGAGGTGCCGACCCTGCGGTCACAATATTGAACCTTTTCATATTGAATGTTTGCTCCATGACATTTTCAAAAGATTTGAAATCATCATCAATATCATATCCAGCCTGGTTCCACAAGTAGAAAATCACCTGTTTTAATTTTTCAGAGCAAGACTGATTATAGACAAAAATGCAATCTGATGATGAAATGTCTGTCATTAAGTATTTATCAATCTATTTCATTGAGATGACACACACATTTGCAAATAGGTTAAATGCAAAGTTTGATTTCAAGATGGAAGTTTTTTGTTAGTTATAATGCAAAAATAATTACTAATAAAGTAAAATCTTGACAAATAAATCTAAAAATATCCAATCAATTAGAAAAAATATGTATATTATAATTAATGTATGCACATTTAATAGTATGCTGTAATATCAAATACGATAGCAAAGAAAACTTATTCTACTCAATGATGACTAACTATATTATTATAATTATTACTTTGTTAATATTGATAGAAAACATAAATAAAATATTCTATTTAATTTTCTATACAGTATTAATAATAATTAAAAACTAAATCAGACTTTGTTAACTTTATGAAGTTTAATTAAATTACAAAAGGTTAACTTTACATTTCACGGAAAAACTATTTACTTTTTATTTGTTTTTAATTTTAATACTAGCTGGCTATAAAAAATTTTTAAATTTGTAAAATTTGATAAACAGTCCTAAAACAATGTTTCATTCATATTTGGAGTAGCAAACACATTTTAAACTTTTATATTTATGATCTATATAACTGATTATAATATCTTGTATAATTATTTACATTCTATTAGTTTAATGCATCTCATTCTATTAGTGCATCTCAAAGACAATTTAAATATTTGCTTATTTTTTGATTTTTCATAACACATTTTAATGAATAGTTAACTTGTATGAAGAATGAATAAATCAACTACCTGACAATAAACAATTAAAAATGAGGTTTTATATATTAAATAGAACAGAAAAGTTTAAAAATGATAAATTTCTTTATGAATTCTAAATCATCTAACAATGTAAACTATTAACATATACACTGTATATTTAATTGCATGTCTCTCTATTAGTTTTAAAGGTTTTGAAAATACTTAAATATTCATAACCAGATAAAGATAATATAACAAAAACATATATATAATTTATATGAAGAACTATATTCTAGCTTCATTTAAACTAGCATTTATTTCTAAATAAGTCTTTTACATCAGTATTTACAGGATGTCCTAAATTGCATGTATTGTACAATTTGATTAATAACTTCTATCTTTATTTTCTTAATTTTAATTTAATAGTTTTCAAATTTACAGTATATATTATAATATAAAATTAAAATATAAATTAAGAAAATAAAGATAGGACTTATCATCAAAATGTGTATATATTTTTTTATGATATGCTGTATATTTTGATTTCTTTTTATTAAGTACAGATAGTTTAATTTCCTACTTTTATTTTGAAATGTTTGTTTTGCAATACTGTTGGTTATAATGTATACTCAATACTTTGAGACTTTTTCCATTATAATTTATCACTTTCGCTATAAAATTTTATAATTATTAGTAATTAAAAAGTAACATTATTATAACAAGAATACATCAAAGTTTTGATCTTTGTAAATTGTTGCAGTACAGATAGTAGCAGACAATTCTCTCTAGATGACAGTAACAGTTATTAAACAAATTAATAGAGAGGTTGAAGCCGAAGTTTTAAATGCAAAAACGTGTATGTTGGATGTTCAGTGCTGCTTTCCTGTAAGCCTAGAAGCACTCTGTCCTATCTCGCTTTCTTTCACCTTCCACCTCAACCCTTCCTAAAACTTTTATTCTTCTTTCCTATTCATGTTTTTTGGCTATACCAATGAGTGCGGCCAATAAACAATTCTAGTGTCTGGTGTAAGCCTAAAAGTTTGACAATGGTGTTTGGAATGTCAAGTATGATTCCATTGACTATCCAAACACCATTGTCAAACTTCTAGGCTTACAGGAAAGCGGCACTGAACATCCAACGTACACGTTTTCATATTTAAAACTTCAGCCTCAACGTCGCTAATGAAATAGATATTACACTTCTAAATGCAAAGAAAAAGAAAGAACAATTTGTTCTACAGAAAGCTCTGAAATAAAGATGAGTATGGACTCCTCTCACTGGACAAGCAATTATTTATTGTGACATGGTCACAATGCTGGGCTGCAATTTTTAATCATATTTTTTATTTATTTAATTTAAAATATGTGCTCTCCACACCTCAAATTATTAGTGGCTCACCATTGTACTTTTCCTTTAACAATAGAGTCATGCCAGTTATCTATGTAACACCTTCCAGGGGAAATTTTTAAATTCAAATAACACAACTTTCAGTTTGCATCAAAAGTTTGTATATAGTTAATTGAAGCCACCTGTCCCTAAGGCTTCCATATCTGGTCTTGTCTTTCATCTAATTAACAATGTTCTCAAGATTAAGGAAAGTCAGATGGACAGACAGTGGGACAGTGGGAATTTATAGGTCTACAATTTTTTCAATTTTTGCAGCCCAATAGAGGTCCAGCTGACAAAATACTACAATATTATGTGACCAATTTAATAATAATAATAAAAACCACAAAACCACTATTCTGTTCTTAGCAGATTCTTAAATATAATATAAATTAAATGCATCTAATAGCCAATGTATATATTAAGTTTTAAATGATTCATAATTATTCTTTAGATATTCTTTTTTTTTATAACAAGAAATAAATTTACAAGTACTGTATAATTTATTCTTCTAAATAAACTTTTATTTTACTAAGATCATAAATCAGTAAAAATTCTTAAAAACTTATTTCATTAAAATAATTTATAGTTTCTTTTTAAGTAAAATTCTGTACCCGAGTCAGCTGCTGCTAACTGATTTTCCACATCTTCGATTTCTGCTTGAAGTTCCAAATTCAATGGGTGTTTTGAATCTCCTTGAATACGATCTAAAGTTGCATGTAAAGCATCTCTGGCTCGAGTCAATAAACTTATATGAGTATTCCAAGAATTTGATGAAATTTCCCTTCTTGATTTATTTTCAATCCTCTTCTCAGCAAGACGTTTTAATGTCTTAAATGAAAGAAAAGGAATAAACATCATTATTGATTAATTCATTTTGAAGGAAATATTTGCAGTCTTTCATTTGCACTGTAGTCAAAAAGTAAATCCTGATATAAAAATGTATAATGATAGAATGATCATTTGTTACAAAAAAGTTAAATTCTAATAGAAATTAATTATAAAAATATAGACATAACATAAAATTTACATACCAAAGCTAGATAAAAGCTGGCATGAGGAGATGAAAGCTTACTCAATGTACATGCAGCAGCTTCTAACAGACCTTCATTCATCGCATGGCATGCTAAAAACAATTGTCCTTCTTCCTGAAGAGAAGAAACTTCTTCACTTGAAGGATTGCTCCCATAGTTATGAAACAGACATTCTGCTGGTACTTTTAAAGTCTGATTTTTGGCTAATTTTTCTAGCATATTCAATGCAATTTTCCAATAATGACTAGCACGTAACTCTAAACTGCTAACTTCTTCAGAATGTAATTCCTCATTTTCTCCACGAACAGCAGAAGCCTATATAATATTTTAAGAAAATTTACAATTAAATATTTTTTTTTCTGTAAAATGCAAAAAAACTCAGGTGACAGATTTAACAGATTAAATTAATTTATTAAAGATTTAAATTAGACATCATAATTAAATTTTGACAATACCATTATGGTGTAATTAATCTACATCTTAAAAATTGATATATACCATTGGCTCCAATATTTTATGTTAATATGTTAACTTTTAAGAAAAATTTATTATTTTTTAAATTTTACAATCAAAATTAAATCCTTTAGAATGAAGTATGCTTTCAAAACAGCTTATAAAACAACAATGTAATTTATTTATTTATTTAGTTATTTCAAATTTCTCACAACTCATAACTTTAAAACTCAGTATTTTTATCATTCCAATTAATTACATTTAGCATTAAATGTCTTAAAATAATAAAGTATTTCTTGAAGGTATCAGCTAGATAAGTTATGGTAAAAGAAAAACAAATTTATTTCCATCAAGGAATGTACCATTCATTCACTGGAATCTATATTTGAAAATAACTTATTTTATATCCAAAGTTTAGTTGTTTCAAGAAGTAATGTATGAAACTAATAATGACAACGATAAAACAAACAAATATAATTTACTGGAAACGTTTCATTTGCAATATTTTAATGATACATAATTTCTTAAAAACATTATAACTGAATTTAAAAACTATTCTGGAAATAATATATTTAATTATTATAGAAATTTGATAAAATCCTTATAAAGCCATGTTTAAAAAAAAACAAAAAATTACAATCCACATCACTTGCATTTTTTCTTAACTTCTAATTTTAAAAAGTTTCAAATAAAACTCTAAATTTTATATGATAAAACAAATAATTACCTTATCAATAAATGTTCTTGCTAAATGAACCATTAGTTTTATACTGATGCCATGATTACCAACTCCTCGAATGACTTCTAAACCTCGCTGAAGAATTCTTCTCATTTCTCCTAATTTTTCTCTGTATTAAGTATGAAAGTTTTTAATATATTTATCTAATTCAAATAAATAAATAAAAATTAAATTCAAATTATCAAGAGACCATTTCTTGTTTATCAGTAAAATTTTGATTTTAAGGACAAAACCATAACTTTAACATTTTGAAAAAAGTATTCTTTCCTTCCAGAAAACTAGTTACAACACTTATGTTTAAGAATAAAGTATTTTTTATCTTGAATAACAAAGAAAAATACAACATTTGAACTTTTACCTTATTTCATTTATAAACCAGACAAGTTCAAAATAATACTTATTGCTTTTAATAATTATAATAACTTTTAATTTAACAAATTAATCTGAACCAAATATCAGTTGCTTTCCCTAAATTTTATAAATGTATTTATAAGTTATAACCAATACTTTTTTATTTAAATTCTATTATAGAGTTTTTACTTTTAATAAATATATTTGTAAACTATGTAGCAGTATATTCTATTTACTTTTCAGTGCTTAGTTTTCAAATAGTATTTACAATTATGTAAATACTATTCATGATTACAATTATGATTATGATTACAATATGATTCATGATTACAATTATAATTATGATTACAATATATTTACAATTATGTAAATACTATGCATGAGTGAGTCAAAATTTCATTTTGACTCACTCATGCATAAATACATATTAATGTATTTATGCATGAGTGAGTCAAAATGAAATGACACTTGGAACAGATATGTAACAAATTAATTATAAAACCCTACACATCTAAGAAAAATAAATCTATGAGTCAATCAACACGTAAATACCAAATAAAGGTTAATAAAATTATGTTCAATACACTTCAAATAATTGGCAATTATATTCTGTTGAATAATGAAACTAATCACAAATATTCAATAATTACTATAATCACAATAAAAACAACTACCTATAAATTTTGCCATTAAAAAGAAAAAAAAAACATTAAAATTACCTGTTTGAATAAATTTTCATAATTTAAAAATATATTTGCATAAAGGCTTCTTAGATTTCTTTGAGAAAGATCATAAAATTACAAAACAGCCACCTTTTATAACTAGATATAACTACAGTCGACCCCCTATAACACGGTAGATACGTTCCGGTTTTTATGAATCCATTTTCTACGAGTCCAGCCAATCACAGTCCAGCACGTATGCAATTTACACACTACGACTGTTTGAAAGGTTTCTTCCATAAAATTAATCGATTCTAGACTAATTTGACTCAACATTTCCAAAATATGTATAATTTTTTGGGAATAATCCATATAAACTATGCTATAAACAAAAAATTGTAGGATTACTTACCGAGCATGCACCATTCGACTACGCCATTGCTTAAGCTTGTTTTCGTCGTGGAGCTTGTCATCGAATGGTGCTCGCATGCTTCCTGATAATTTATTTTTTTTTTGCGAAAAATTTGCTGAACTTTGGAGACATCTAATTTAATATAAATATAATTTTTATGGATGTTAAACAATAAATGGTTTTTAGTAGGTCTGCTGCTCATTTAAACTCAACGGTTTGTGCAATATCCGCTATTTATTTAGATTCAACCAATCCTGTCACGACACGAGTCAGTGATGACGTTTTACTGAATTATACAAGTTTTTTTTAGCACGTTTGTACAAATACTGATGCAATTTTTTCGCCGTGATATAGGAATCTGAACTATAGGAACCCGTGGTATGGGGGAGGGGGTCGAATGTATTATGTTATAGAAATATTTTAATACATTACATTAACTAGCAATTAGTTTATATAATACTTTTGAAACAGGTGTAATTGTGAAAAAAATATCAGTTTTAGAATAATTATAAAAATAATATTGTAGAAATTATTGAAATTTATGGTTTCTCAGTTAAAAATTTACTGAATTTTATAGTTACTATGCAAAGTGAATTACTTTTTTTAAATGCTAATGTTCAAATGAATGAATAATCCAAAAACATTTTTCCTTTAAATACAGAAAATTCTTGCTTTGCACAGTTCCAATATGCACAAACTCCAGTTACTGCAATTTAGTTAAACTTGTAATATTTTACAAAAATGGGTATCTGGAGAAGAAACTGGCCAAGAAATAAAGTGTAGTGAGAAAAAGTAATAATTCTGGGCATGGAAAATGTATATGATTAGATAATTATGTATATAAATAATAAATTCAAAATAAAACACTCTTCTTAGAACTAAAAATTTTTCTAGTAATTAAATTTACTACTATTTTTTGAGTTTCTTTTAAGTTTATATTTATCAAAAGATGTATAAAAATTTATAATAATAAAAATTTTCAATTTAATAATTAAATCCAAAATAATATTTTACCTCACTGTATTTTTATATAATTTATATACAGCTTCCCACCAAGTTGCTTGTTCTTTGCTACATAAAGGATCAGCTATATCAGGAGGTATTGCTAAAGGAGCATATACTTGTGAATGAGTNAACAATTAAAAATGAGGTTTTATATATTAAATAGAACAGAAAAGTTTAAAAATGATAAATTTCTTTATGAATTCTAAATCATCTAACAATGTAAACTATTAACATATACACTGTATATTTAATTGCATGTCTCTCTATTAGTTTTAAAGGTTTTGAAAATACTTAAATATTCATAACCAGATAAAGATAATATAACAAAAACATATATATAATTTATATACAGCTTCCCACCAAGTTGCTTGTTCTTTGCTACATAAAGGATCAGCTATATCAGGAGGTATTGCTAAAGGAGCATATACTTGTGAATGAGTAGCAGTACGATAATTCTCTATAGCAAGTTGTGAAGTATATATTGAAGCATATAAGAAGCTTTCTATATCTAAGAGACAGAGAGATTCTGGAGCTCCATTTGTTAATGTTGAAGTACTAAATTGAAGATCTTCAAAAACCTGTAATATATCATCATTGTATTAATTGACTTTTTAAAATGCAATAATTTATTTTTCTAATTCAAATAAATAAATAAAAATTAAATTCAAATTATCAAGAGACCATTTCTTGTTTATCAGTAAAATTTTGATTTTAAGGACAAAACCATAACTTTAACATTTTGAAAAAAGTATTCTTTCCTTCCAGAAAACTAGTTACAACACTTATGTTTAAGAATAAAGTATTTTTTATCTTGAATAACAAAGAAAAATACAACATTTGAACTTTTACCTTATTTCATTTATAAACCAGACAAGTTCAAAATAATACTTATTGCTTTTAATAATTATAATAACTTTTAATTTAACAAATTAATCTGAACCAAATATCAGTTGCTTTCCCTAAATTTTATAAATGTATTTATAAGTTATAACCAATACTTTTTTATTTAAATTCTATTATAGAGTTTTTACTNACTAATCTGATATACAGTAGAGCATCGATTATCCGACTCAACTGGGGACTGGGGTTGGTCGGATAACTGAAAAAAACAGATAACCGAAAAATATGAAAAAATACATTATTAGTATAGTATATTAGTATATCTCATGTAATTACTGTATTAGTATATCACTATTAACCTACTTTGTGTTGAATTTTCATCGATGTTAAGCCTAACAAAAATTTTTTTAAAATAATAATCTTCGCTATTGTATCGTTAAAAATTAGAAAATTAAGCCTCGTTTAAATACTGCTCCCTTTCATGGTCGAGCCAGTGTTGCCAACTAAAACACGTAAAAGTACTATTAAAGTAGCCAAGACATAGCCAACATCACCACCTTATATCCTGCAAATCACTAGCAGACATTTGAATTTGCCGACTAGAATGGTCAGTTAACCGATGTGACGGTTAATCGGGAGTCGGATAATTGATGCTCTACTGTACTTCTCTTCTCAGTCCTATGTCCTTCAAAAGGCGTGGTGATTGTATGAATTGACGGCTTTAATTGCATCTTTCCACTGCTCCTGGTGCCATGTGGATGACTGTAATTGTATACATTGTATGTCCTGTAATCATCATTACTTGGTCTGCCACCTAATCTGACATCTGCCTCTAGGGCATTTGCCATTGATTGTCCCTTCTAGGATTTGTTTTTGTGTTTGGAAGTATATCCCAAGAAGCAAAGGTAGGATTGGTATATTTTAGTGGTAAGGCATGTTGTGATTTTCAGTTGATTTAGGATGAAGCAATTTGTTTGGTGCTCCATCCAAGAGATTCTCAGTATTCTTCTACATGTCCATATTTCAAAGGAATCAAGTTTCTTCCAAGATGTGGCATTTACGGTCCAGTTTTCTGAGGTATAAGTGGCAATCAGAAAAATAAACGTTCTTATGAGCTTCAGTTTATTAAAAATAGTGATTGCAGAATCTTTCCAAATTTTAAATAATTTAGAGGTTGCATTGCGAGCAAGGTAAATTCTGCATTTAATTTCATTATTGCATCCTCCTTTATTTGTAAGAAGTGATCCAAGGTAAACAAATTCATTCACCATCTTATATCCTGCAATTTCCTTAGTCTGTGTCAAGGAACAATCATCACAACTTTCATTTTACTTCCATTAATCAGCAATCCATATTCCCTGCTCTCAGTTTCAAGACATTTCATAATATATTCAATTTCTGATTCATTGGATGCTATAATAAATGTATCGTCAGTATATCTCAGGTTGTTAACTTTACGACCCCGATGGAAATGCCTCCGTCCCAGTTATCTAATACCCTTCTAATGATTATTTCAGAATAAGCATTAAAGAGTAAAGGGGAAAGAACACATCCCTGTCTTACATCAGCTTCAGATGTAAATGTATTAGGCATAGTTTTCTTAACTCTTATTCTTGCAGAGTTATTCTCATATAAATTTCTGATCATTGAAATAAGATGGCACGGGACTCCCATGTTCTTGAAAACAAGCCACACTTTGTGGCATTTTATACAATCAAAAGCTTTGATACAGTCTACAAAACAAAGATAAGCTTTAACATTAAATTCATAGGCTTTTTCAATGATTTGTCTAGCATTCAAGATTTGTTCAAGAGTTCCTTTATCAGGGATAAACCTAGATTGTTCTTCAGCTATTTCAGGTATTCAAACGGTTTATTAAGGGTTTCAAACGGTTATTAATTGTTTGGTACATTACTTTACTGGCATGATTAATTAGGCTGATAGATCTGTAGTTACTACAGTCTGTTGGTGCCCCTTTTTTATAAATTGGAATAAATATTGATTTACACCATTCCTCTGGCCATCTCACAGATTTCCAAATTAAGGAGCAGATTTTATGAAATATGTCAACACCCAGTTCTCCCATTGCTTTTAAAATTTCAGAGGTTATGTTATCAGTCCGAGCTTTGTAATTTCTTAACGTATTTATGGCTTTTTCTACCTCTAATTTAAGAACAGATGGTTCAACTTCCCCTGTCCATCTATTCTGAAGTTGATTATTACCATTTGTTTGTCCAGTGTCTTTATAAAGTTCTCATAATACTTCCTCCAGACATCCACAATCCCCTCTGCATCAGTTATGATTTCATTTTCATCATTTTTAATTATTTGTGTGTTTGGTTTGAACTCTCTTGCTAGATATCTAACTTTATCATATAGTCCACAAGTCTGATTATTATTTGCATGGAATTCAATTTCATTGCATATACTGTCAATATAATCATTTTTGTCTTTCTTACAAGCCTTTTTGATTTTTTTTGTCTAGCTTTTTCTTCTTTTCATCTGCAACGATTGCTGAAGTTAATAATTTTTTCCTTTCATCTACTAATTCAAGACTACTATTTGTCACCCAATGTTTCTTTTTCTGTGGCCGATGTCGTGTGGTGCATTGTTGTACTCCAGTTAAAATCCAACTTTTTCTTTGCGTCCATAAATCATCTGGGTTGTTTGTAAAGGATAGAGGATCTAAATTTTGGAGAGTCTGTTGTAAGATTGAACTAGCTGGAGTCTCAAGTCTTGGGTGATCTTTGATATTTTTGTTGTATGGAGTTTTAATGTTACTTCTGCTTTTAGTAGCTTATGATCAGAGTTGCAGAATGCTACTCTGATCATAATCTGATATACATATTAACTAAATAATTACCTTTATGTATTATGTATTGGTATAAAATGAAATTATGACATCAAATAATAATAATTTGTTAGGAAATTCCTCAATACAGACACACACACACACACACTGACACTTATTTAATTTTTGTCTTGTTTTGGTTGCTATGCCTTGACTCTGGTCCAGTGTAGTACACAGCAACCAATGTCAACTGAGTACAACTAATTAAACCCAACATAATAATAATATTTTATCTTAGAAGTTCATAAATTCTGAGCCTAATATACCTAAACTTTATTTATAAATAAACTTTCAGGTACTTAAAATTCTTAAAATTTTCAGTACTATAATAAATTCTCTTTGTGTGTGTACACTATATATATAATGACTAGTGACATCTAGTTTCAAAAATGTTCTGATGCTGAAACAAGACATCTCGGATCCACCAGTCAAGGTCATTAGGTCACAACTGGAGATATGTTGGGAATACCAGAGTATAGGCTAATATAATTTCATCAATATACAAGAAATTATTTTGTTTTAATTTACAGATCCTGTTAATAACATCAAATGTAACAATAAAATAGAAAGTACACTGTAATTCTTCAAGTCAAAGTATGCAATCAATAACAGCATTTAGAAGAAAGTACTGTACACTATTTATTATGCTAAACATTTCCTTTTTTACATGTTTTAGTTGATAGTTTGCAATAAAAATAGTTTACAATCTACAACATAAAAATTTAAATTAATTCCAAAATTTTTATATGCTCTGTACCTATGTACATTCATTATCAATTCTAATATTTTAAACATCTTAACTTTATAATAAGTTTAATTAATCACTGTTCTTATACACAATTTATTAAATACATAATCATGTTTTTTAAAAATGTTTGTATCAACCTGAGTTTATCTTATTATAATATATAAAATTTGAAGTAAATTAAAAGTTGAAAATAGGTAAGTGGTTGGATCACTAAATGCTTCTTTATTAATTTTATTCTATATATAGAGTGAACCAAAAGTATGTAAACAGTAAATTGCATAGGGTTTGTGCTATATTGTTTGTGTTTGTGAAATGCCATGAAAAATATAACATATTTATTATTACTGTATACATAAAAATTGAATATAATTGTATATGTAATCTATAAATAAATGTTATTATTTACTATCCACCTGTTTTATTTCACCTTGTATAACACCAAGTTAAGAAAAAAAAAAACTTAAAACTTACTTTTGACTTGTAATTAATTTTTGAACTGTAACTTCCTAGTCTTTTTTGAATATGAAGAAACAACCAAATTAAATGATGTAATGAATCAGGATGAAGCTTGAATATCACTAAAACAAAATATTAATGCTGTAAGAATTGTTTCTCAACAAGAAGTGATAATTTACAAAAATATTTTATATTTTGAATAACGTGTATTTACAGTCACTCAAAACAAAAAATCCGTATTAAGTAATTAATAACAATTATTATACTATATAATATAATAGATACAAATGTGAAGCAAAAATAATCTGAGCAAATTATTTTTGCTTAAAATTTTTAGTCATTCTTTAAAAAAAATTTTTAAAGCTTTGTACAATTATCAGTGTTTTTTAAATTTAAATAGTCTTATTTAAAAAATAAAGAAATTTATCATAATTCAACAAAATTACTCCTCTTAAGCTTTATCATAGTATAACTGAAAATTACTGGCCTTCCTAATGGTCCCATTAATCTCCAGTTGAAGTGCCAGGAAAGCTGTGCCAGTGCTCTCACCACTTTATTACTATTATTATTATTAAATCTGATAAAATAAAAATAACATTCAAGTTGAATGTTTGACTTGAATGGCCGATCGCCATCTTGGGTTAAGGAATTTTTGACATTACATGAATCTCTTTAGTTACTTTTCAAAAAAATTTTGATTAAGTGAACTTCTTGACTAATTTTGAAAAAAACTCCAGCTGAGTTATTAATTAATTAATTTATTTAAGGCGTGCGAGAGTGGAGGAGGCGTGGAGCTATGGCAAATCATCGTTTGAGCGCTTGTTCCTTTTGCAAGCACAAAGTTTCGGAAAGTGACTTGTTAACTTGTTCCAATTGCTCTAAATTTGCTCATTTCTATTGTTTTGGGATCCAGGCAGCAAACTTTCATAAGTTAAGCAAGTCTTTCAAAAAAATTGGACACAGGAACTGGAAGATGACAGAGAACTGGGTGAGTGTGAGCAGATTATTATGACTTCACATAATTATAATAAGAACATTGATACAACACCAGATAATCTAACTTTCACTCCAACATCACCCTTAAGTATAACTACCAAAAATTTTGAAACGATTTTACAAGAAGTGAAACTAATACACTTGGAGTTGAGTAACATAAAAGAAACAAACATAGAAATCCAGAAATCGGTAGAATTCTTAACAAATAAGTTTGACAAAATGGAAGAGAGAATTAATGTTTTAGAGAAAAACTATGTAACTGCTAGTGAAACAATTACAGAACTAAAGGAAGAGAATAAAAGTATGAAGGCAGAATTAAATTCTTTAAAAGAAAAATTCTGCATGTTGGAGCAGGAGCTTAACAACTCAAGTTTGGCGGTTGTTGGTGTGCCGACACTTAAGAATGAGAATTTAACAGAAATAGCATATAAAATTTTTTCGTTTGTTGACAATAATTTTAATCAGTCAGCTCTATTGAATGCCTATAGAATTAAACCCAGTAATAATAAAAGAAAAGAATTCAAAACTAGATCACAACCAATTATAGTGAAATGTGCCAGTTCAGTTGTCAAACAAAAAATTATAAATAATATTAAAAAGAAGTTAAAAATAACCACAAATGCATGTCACATTATAAATGAGGAATATAAAATATATATAAATGAACATCTTACTTCATATTATAGAATATTTTCTACAAAACCAGAACGCTAAAAAAACAAGGAAAAATATTAAACACTTGGACAAATAACGGAAATGTGTATTTAAAAAAGGATACTTCTTCTCCAACAATTCGGATACCAACATTGGACAGTTTAGAGAAAATCTTTCGAAATGGCTGAATTATTAACACATATAAAGATGACAACTTCTCCAAAAAAGGCATATTAGTGTTTTATTGCAATGTAAATAACAAATATTTAGAAATACTTAAAACAATCAAGGAATATAACTGCAACTTTGATGTATTAGCTTTTTGCGAAACTTGGACAAATGATGTAAATCCTCCACCATATATAAAAGATTATCCGCAAGAAAAAATAGAAAGAAAACCCAATCAGCATGGAGGCATAGTAATATATGTACATAATGATAAACATTATGAAGTTGTTTCAGATCTAACTTTTACAAGGAATTATATAAATGTAATTATGATAGTTGTAGGTAATCTGATGTTGGTAATAGTCTATCATTCCCCATTTACAAACTACGAAATTTTCCTGGATGTTATAAATGAAATACTATTACATAAATCAACCAAATATGGAAAATATAAATTACAAATAATCAGGGATTTTAATATCGATTTACTTAAAAATAACTCCTCCAACACCTCCGGACTGGTAAATCTTTGTTTTACTGAAAATTTAACAGTTCTGGCTGATTTGAATCAACCAACTAGATATGGAAAAAATACTCACTCTTTGATACACTTTGGTCTAACAAACGATAGTGCATGTCAATTTTTAATACATCAAAATTTGATATCTGACCATCTACCTATCATCATCTTTACCCCTGAAAAAGACCTTGATACAGGGATAAAGAACAAAGCAATCTACTCTAAAATCAATAATTCCTCGATTTGCCATTTACGTTATGCTTTGTCATCTAGTTATTACTATACTTCAAGTTTGACAACTGACCAATTAGCTGACTATTTATACACCACCTTACTTGTTTTATTGATAAATATCTTCAGACTAAAGAACATGTGAAAAAAAATAAAATTAGCAGAAAAAAAGTTAAAGAATTTTATATCTGAACACATGCTCACATTAATTAAATGGAAGAAAACTTTACTTAAAACAGTCAAAAATAAAAATTGGATGACTTTCGAAGGACGAAACAAATACTTAGAGGATATATATACCTTGAATAAACAAATCAGAAAAAATATCCTTAATGAAGAGAAAAACTATTACAATTTTCTGTTTTCTAATGTTAAATCTCCTCCTGACTTCTGGAAAAGTATTAAGACATTACCCTTTCAGGTAACCAGGACAAAGAATAAGGCTAAAATAGATCATTTGAATTACAAGGGGTAAATGATAAATAATGAACGCACTTTTAGTGACATTTTTGCCGAGCACTACAGGTCCTTGAACAGCTTTATTCCAGATGTCTTCGGCAATATCAATTCAGAGCAACACAGAACAAATGTTAGTATTTCTAATACTTTCTTTTTGGAAAACACAATAGCCTTAGAAGTTTATAATACTATAGAGGGTTTGAAAAACAGCACTCCAGACATCAGTTTCATAAATATTGAAATCTTAAAACACATATCTGATATCTTAGCTCAACCATTATCACATCTGATAAATAAATCTTTTGAATATGGTTACTTTCCGGAAAAACTGAATCAAAACTTAGTTTTGCCATTATATAAAGATAAAGGATCAAAAAGTGAAATTGAAAATTATTGTCCCATAATAATAGTGTTAGTGTTGGCTAAAATTTTCGAGAAGATTTTTTACAAGAGATTTTCAACTTTTATAGACAGATTCCAGGTTATTCACAGAAACCAATATGCTTATAAACAAGGATTTTCAACGGTAGATGCTTGTTGCATTTGAAACAATCAATAATGTCACAACTTGACAAATCGAAAATAGCAATATCAGTTTTTGTGGACCTTTCAAAGGCATTTGATAGCTTAAATCATGAACTTTTGTATCAAAAATTGCAAACTGTTGGTCTAAGAGGGACTCCTCTAAGCTGGTTAAAATCATACTTGTCAAACAGAATTTACTTTGTAAAAATTAGACAGATTATCTCTAGCTCTTTCAGGCCAAATAACGGCGTTCCTCAAGATTCAATCTTGGGTCCACTGCTTTTCAATATATATATATATTAATGATTTATTTAACTATATACCAAAAGAGAATATACTGATGTACGCTGATGATCTAGTGATAACTTATTCTCATACGAACGCTATAATTCTTCAGGAGAATTTAAATCACATTTTAAAAACTTTAAATAGTTATATAGAAAACAATGGATTAGTAATTAAAAATAAAACTAAATTCCTCTGCTTTGCAAACAGGAATAAAATAATCAATCCACATCACATAAAATTGAAATAACTGATTATAACATAGAAAAAGTAAATGCTATTAAGTTTTTGGGAGTAACTTTTGATGACAATCTGTGCTGGAATAAACATATAGATGATGTTGCACTTTCCTGGAAAAGTATACTGGGATAAATAAGAAAATTCAAGCTTTAAGTACATCACTCCTTGAAATGGCTGTACCACACTTGCATTGAATCTAAAATAAGATATGGTATTGCTGTATGGAAAACCACATCTCTACAGGCTGTTAATAAACTTCAGATGGCACAAAATCATTACATGCGTTCAATTTATAATTTAAACTTTATGGAATCAGTATCTGAACTCTACCGCACCGATAATATTGACAAGATTAGTGAAATTTACAAGAAACAGATTCTATTGGAGGGTTTCAAATATATAAAGGGCAAAAAGGAAAACAGCTTCCTCGGAATTGGTATAGGAGAGTGTCGCAGATCAACATGAGATATTCGTATAATTCGTGAATATAGTCTCCCAATTGTTAAACTAGAGGTGAGGAGATCTGCACCAATCTTTCGATTAATTTTCTATTGGAATAGTCTGTGCAATGATTTACGTAACATATCAAGTTATGAAGTCTTCAAAAAAAAAAAGTAAAAAACAAAAAAAAAAACAGAAAAAACTTAAGCCACACTGATATTTGTTCTCAATTAATTTTCGAACTTGAGGTAGAATGTAATTTCTTTCTCAGCTGGCGTCCTGTTTTTGTTTTTTCATTTTTTTGTTGGTTTTGTTGATTTTTGCTTTAAGATGCTTGTAAAAGGCCAACCTGGTCACAGTGTCTTTTTCAGAAATAAAATAAATAAATAAATAAAAATAAAATCTAGAATAATAATTTTTAAAATCTATTTATATATTTATAATAGATTAAATTTTGATATATTTAGGTGGTTTTAATCTTTCTTGATATTGTATACTTCTTCCAACATCAATTATATTTCTGAATGCTGTAAATACTAGTGATGCAACGAATAGTATATTCAGCGAGGAGCGTGGCCGAATAGCTGAATATTCAGCTTGATTAACGCACGTACAAAAATTGGCATGCAAACCGCATTATGGCAAGGATCGCGCATCCTGCTCTCTATTGGCTCACTGTCACTACACTTTGCCAATTGCGTTAATTCTTGACAGTTGTAGCAGACATAATCGAGCAAGTCGAGGCAGCTTATTGGCTCAAAATTCGTGGCCATCAATGCCAAATAATTGGTCTCATACATTTTGGAAGGCTAAATGCTTTTAATGAAAGTCACTTAGTGTGCACAGGCCGTTCAGGCTACCAAGATGTCTGAAACTTCAGTTATGATAAATAATTTTCTACAATGAAACAAAAAGTTAATTTAATTTTCAAGTTTATAATAAGGGATTATTTCATAAAAATGCTTTACAGATCATTAATTATTTTTTTTCACATTTTATGACCTAAGTTTCAATCTAATGTGCCCATGCAGTACAAATTTTCATACAACTTTTTTCTTAAAATTTCGTAAAATCTTTTCTTAGTATGCCTAAACTTTACAAAAGGAACACAACCTCAAATTTTTAAGTTTCTAGCACCAGTAGTTTTGGCTCTGCATTAATTATCCTATCAGGACTTGTTCTTTTATATACGAGTATATAGTTGACTAAACTACATAATATGTAGGTAGTTTTCATTTGATTTGTTACCTTTTTTTGATCTCTTAAAAAAATAACTTAGTTATATTACTTTTCCTTTGACGTTTTACATAAATAAGCAAAAAATTACACTTTCTCGAATTTGAAATGTATGTTCAGCATTAATAAAAGTTACCAAAATGATTAATTTACTGTGTTTTTGTTATTTCTTACTCCTTTTTTTAGGTATTCAATATTCGGCCGAATAGCGAAACACAGGCTGAATATCGAATAGTAACCAAATATTCGTTGCATCATTAGTAAATACTACGCATGTTTTATTTCATTTAAGTGTATATGAAATAATTTTATTGTTTTGACTTTATTTTTTCCTATTATCACTGGATAAAGAATATTTAAAAGATTAAAAAATTAAAAACTCAATGCTCATTTAAACCAAGTTGCCAAAATAAAACATTACATACAATAATCAAAAAATCTTACTGGAACTAAATCAAATAAATAATTTAAGTAAACAACACCTTTTTAACAGTTCAGCAAAAACATTTAATTCTCTAATAAAGTTTTCGACTGATTTTAGCGACCTTCATCAGTTACTCCAATATCAAAAAGAACAAAGTATTCGAAATTTACGTAATACAAAATTAAATAAAATTAAATTAAACTGCGATTGTGTAGAACAACGGGAAAAAAATAAAAATACATAAATAAATAAATAAATAAAAATAAACAAATAAACCCAAATAAATAATAATGCCTTCATCACGGATACATATATTAACTTGTGTTAGTGTAAAATGACTTCCAAGCAGTTGCCAAACCTTATGCATCTCTTTGATTGATACATTCCGTGGCTATATGCGCTTTATGTATTTCTATTTTTTCAAGATGCTTCACCGCTTGTAATGATCTCGTATCTGTCAAATTGTAGTAGTATCTGTCAAATTCTTTGGGATGATTCTATCTATTATCATCCCAAAGAATTTGACAGATACTAAGCATGTTAAATATGCGGCGTTTAGAGCGTGGATTAAAAGAGCGTACACCCACTGCACGAGTTTATATGATACATATGAGGAATTAGATTGCATACAAAAGGCAGCGGCACGACAGGGATACCACAGAAAAGAGATTGAGACACTTATTAAAAGAATACAGAAGCAACCCAGCAGCCTCCCGAAACTGATCAAAGAAAAAATGTGATAATTAATTATTTTCCATTTCTAAACAAGATAGTTAGGAAAGTTGCCAATAAAAATAAGTTACGAATAATATATCGACGCAATCCAACTGTGTATGGAATGTTAAGAAATGACAAGAAGAAGGATAATCGAAATAGCTTGACGGGTATATATTCTATACCTATAAAAGATCGTCGGTTTAATTCCGACCTCGTGTATGTTGGGGCAACTATGTGGAGTTTAAAACAAAGGATAAATAAGCATAAATATTCTGTAGGTAGGAACATCGATAGTACTGTTCTGGTGGCATTTGCCAAACAACAGGATGTAACCGTATACTGGGATCGTGCAGCGATCATTAGGGCCACGAGATCATTACAAACGGTGAAGCATCTTGAAAAAATAGAAATACATAAAGTGCATATAGCCACGGAATGTATCAATCACAGAGATGCAGAAGGTTTGGCAACTGCTTGGAAGTCATTTTACACTAACACAAGTTAATATATGTATCCGTGATGACGGCATTATTATTTATTTGGGTTTATTTGTTTATTTTTATTTATTTATTTATTTATGTATTTTTATTTTTTTCTGTTGTTCTACGCAACTGCAGTTTAATTTAATTTTATTTAATTTTGTATTATGTAAATTTCGAATACTTTGTTCTTTTTGATATTGGAGTAACTGATGAAGGCCACTAAAATCGGTCGAAAACGTTATTAGAGAATTAAATGTTTTTGCTGGACTGTTAAAAGGCGTTGTTTACTTATATTACATACAATATTTCTAGGTTAAATTTGTTTAAATTAAATACCTTCATTATATTCTTGAAGAGACATTACATCTGGAAATTCTAAGGGGCAAGTAAGGAAAGTTTTATCTTGCAGAAAATGGGACAAAGATGGATCAGTTTTCTTTATGTTACCAAACAGTCTGTTATATATCCTGTCCAGTACCTGAAAACACATTTATAGCATTATTTAAAGGATTGCAACTGTAAAATAATTTATTCACAAGATTTTTATCATTGATTATCAATATTTCGTAAAGGAAAAATAAAATTAAAATGTTAAAAATGTATACTTCAGTTTCTTTCTTATTTATAGTATAAATTATTACAAAAACATCCATTTATTATTTATGTACTATGAGTTATCTGCTTAAAATGTTAAATTTTCAAGTGTGAGCTTTTTCAGCAGCTTCTAGTAACAGTTGTTTTAAATGTTTATTATCAAGAATTTGTTTTCTATTTAATATAACTATGAAACAAGTTCTGGAAACAATTATATTTTATTTGTTACTAATGATTGGCTTGGAGTTAAATCCAGGACCAGTTACTCACACTCCTCCTTTTTCCTGTCAAATGCAAAGTCAACATTTCTGACATATATTAGGTTTGCCCTAGTAATCCTATGCCATTTTCCAAGTTGGCAAGAACAGAAAATTATTTTGGAAGTTTGTATTCTTCCCAAATTTCTTATAATAGTGGAATTAAAGAATTTATTGAAAAGGGATTCAATAAAATAGTCCAGTTTTCATCAAGGATTCAAATGAGAATATCATCAGTTCGAAAAAAAGTTAACATCTCATTAAAACATCCCCTGGATTTCCAATTACACATAGTTTAAAGAATGACTTCAGAGAGAGAAATGTTATAATAAGTGGTTTAAATTGCACTGGATCAGTACAATTTAAGGAGAAGGTTTTCCATTTTCTTGCAACCTGTGGTTGATGGATCTGACTTAAAGGAAAAAGTCATTGAAGTTAATTAATTGGATAAGTCTATTAAAAATTGAATTGTGACTATTTACAAAAAATTATAAAATTTTTCGAGTCTATCTTTCATCCATTTTAACACACCACAGAAGTATCAGTATATTGGCTTGGATGAACTTCCACAGAACACGTGATAAATTATAATGAAAAACACACAAAGTTAAAAATGATCGAAACACCGACCTTTTATTTGAGGATTCGGCGTCCTTTAACATTAAAACAATGGTTACAATTTCTGACCATACCTAACAATGTTCTTTAGCACAATATATAACTGGTTCAAGTCCTCTGGTGGCAATTTTGGGTAATCATAAAGTTCATTTGCATATCATGGATAAGTCTAGTTTGGTTCTTGCTGAATTTCTCTGATATTTAAGCAGTACTTCTTATCACTATTTATTAAGAAAAAATCAACATTGAATGATTCATCTCTTTCCAGAATATACTTGTCTGAAAATTTGGTGTTGTTCCAGAATAAGAAGGAAAAATATTGCAGTCATTTATGTCTCATGCTAGAGAACAAAGAAACAGGCTACCACAAAAAGAGCTATATTTGGATAAAAATGTTTATTTTTATAATTTGATTACAGACACATTGATAGAGCTGAACTCTCTTCTCTTTTAGTAGTATGGGGAGATGTTTCTCTTATTCAATGAGTCCTATGATATCTTTATTGGGCCTTTGTGTAACATTAATCTCAAAGTAAAAAAAAAACTTTTCAACATGGAGTGTTGTAATTTATTAAAGGCATATGATTTATTTTATTTGAAGTCCCAAAGGACAATTGATATCTACCCCAAATTAACAAATATAGAAACATAAATATAAATACAGTAGAGCGTCAATTATCCAAAAGTCAATTATCCGAAACATTGTAAGGAACCAAGTCCGAGCGTTATTTTTATTTACTTTTATTTTTGCTTTTTATTATATTTTTGTTTGGGCTTATGTTTTGTTAGGACGAAGGTTTCCTCACCATTCACCTTAGAAACTTAAAAATAAAAGAGAAACCAACTCACCGATGAGAGAAAAACGCCGTAGGAAAAACTCGCAAACACTTGCGCTCCCGAGTGAAAAAAAGTAAGTCTGCACCAAGAAAAGGGGGGAAGACCCCACAAACACAACTTAGGAACTCGTTAAACCTTAAAAGAATAAAAAATCCCGAAAATTGTCAAAAAGAATAATGTAAAAGGTTAGCGAGTACTGTCGGAAAATAGGCTGCCAGACAAATAGAAAAAGTTTATTGTTAGCAAATAAGTATGTAAATGAGGGGAGTGATCGCATTCAGAATTGTGAAGTCACCTCACAGTATAAAGTCCGAACCTCAAGTGAAGATGAACAAGGTGAGCTTCTGTTAGCAACGAGCATGGTGAGCTTCGTAGCAGCAAACGAGAGAGAGGTGTCCGATAGGATAAAATAGTTCCAAGGCAATTTTGAAGTTATTCGATTTGTGGATCGAAGATTAGAGAAAGTCTTGAGAGTTGAGGAAAAAGGTTCCTAGTATATTGAGGTGATGATTAGGTTCTTTAATTCATAAGAATTATTGTATATAAGTTAAGTCTTTGAAATTTTGTCGAATTCCAAAGGGAAATAGAATTAAGTTAGAAAATAGATTGATTTGAGTTTTGTCGGGTTGATTCTTATTGAGTTTCATTGAATAAATTGTTACTTGATTTTACTAAATATTGTATATAGTTTATTACTAGAACTTTTATTAAATATTTGATTTGTTTTTGACAAACTTTGTCATTATTTAATTCAGTGCACGCTTAAAGTCCAGGCCTGGCACACTAACGCAAATCCACGTAAAGTACCCGTTAGGGAACGGCTATTTCCGGCACACAGTCGTGTTGATAATTGTCGGAAAAATAATATAGTACTTTACGTCAATTATCTGAAAGAATTCCAGTTGGCAAATTTAAATTTTTGCTAGTGCTATGGCACTGCAATCTTTGGCTATGTCTTGGGCTACTCAAATATTTTACGCTTTTAATACTAAATTAACTTCTGAAGTATAATTTTTTATTGTTTTTATATTTTTCAATATATTTATTTTGTTTGTACTGTACAAAATAAAAAAATAATTTTTAACGATACAATAGTCTTCGTTAGGCTTAACATCGACGAAAATTCAACACGAAGCGACACGCAACGGAGAAAAATTTCAACATGGGATAGGTTAATATATTTTTTCGTACATAATCGGTTATCCGAAATATCGATTTTCCAAACAACCCCAGCCCCCAATTGATTCGGATAATCGACGCTCTACTGTATGACAAATAAAGGAGGGAATAACAATTAAATAAGATAAATTGTATAATGCATATAATATTTAGGAATTTCTAAGACCTGGTACTGAAGCTTTTTGATAGATAATTAGAGAAAAAAAATTGTTTATCATTTTTGAGAAAGCTTTGCAATCAAGAATCCCTACTAGGAAGACCTGCCTGTGGTCTAGTGATAGGGGTAAAACATCATTTACGAAATACTAAATTGATTCATTCATTTTGGGAATAATTTTATTATTATACAGCTTAGCTTTAATTTGATTGAATCTTCATTGTTGTTGGACTAATGACCATTTTTGTTTATTTACATCCGGATTGTTTTGAGCATATTTTGTCTGAGATTGATATCCAATCTTCTAAATTCATATAATGTATTCTTTGGAGATATGAATGCCAAGATTAGATAAATTGATGGATTCCATGTATAGAGGCAGAAACAAAATTTATATAACAAGCAATCTTCATCAAATAAACATAATCTGAACAGGGAGACATTAATAAAATTTGTTAAATCGTAAAATTTGGTTATTATTAATGATAGATGATGGGAAGATCACCCAGTTAAACACAGTGACCTCTCAGTTACGTGACTAAAAGAACTGATGATAAAAATCATATAAATAAGAGAATTGTACAAAAGAGTCATGACTGACCAACTTGAATGAAAAATGTTAAAAATATAATTTTAAGACATTACCACTTGTTTTATCTAAACATATAGCCAGCAGCCATTCACTTTCTAAAAACAGATATTATGTCCAGTATGATTATCCTCTCTGCTTTCTTATCTTTGTGGGCACCTGTTTGACCTATGGTAAAGTGACCCCATTCTGTTCTTGTGACTGACAATCATGATGGTAAAATGAGGGGAAAATACATTAGTCTGAAATATTTGTAGAGGTAAAGAACTGTGTGTGTGTCATTTAACTGAGTCATTCAAATGAGAGATTTTAGGCATTTCACACAGGTTTCAGCCAGGACCAGTGAAAAATGTCTCATAACAGAAACTTGCTTAAATGAGAGGTTTATAAGTGAGAGGTCATTGTATACGAGTCATCTGAATGTGTCGGTTACAGACTTCTTGGTTCTGAGTATAGAGTTGACTGAGTTTTTCTGCAGTTTACACAATGATGTTTTCTGATCATTTTTCCAGCATCGTTTTATTTACAGTCTCTTCCAAGAGTACATGTTAATGTGAACAGAGTTACATATCAATAAAATGGAACAATTACTTTGCATACATTTATAGAGTTATTTTAACTGCTAAATTAATGACTCAGAAATTTTTGTCTGATAGAAGTAACCTTAACAGCTGGTACAATTCATTAATACAAGCTTCTTTTTTTATTTATTTATTCAGCAGACAGAGCAGAATTTATTAAAACATCTTATAACATATCTAGCAGATTCTAACCTTCAGATGATTCTGAATGCCAAGAGAAAGATAAAAAAAGGTAAGAGTGTCTTGAGAAAGAGAACTGATTAAGTAGATAAATATTTTAAACTAAAATGTTGGTTTTATATTGATAGTTTGTATTCTGCTAAACAGAGAAATTATCTCAAACAGTCTACTGAAGTATTCTGGAAACTGATTAACCATTTCCAAAGGAGAAACATGAGGCAAGAGAGAATTGAAAATGTTGAATCATATCAACATAATTCAGAGTTGTATGGCAATTGGTTTAGCCATTCATTGTCTTGGAGTCTGATAACATACTCTGACTTAAATTTGGTTAAACCAATAGACTTGAGGAAATATTGAATCTGTACAGGTTTAAAAAAAAAATGGCAGATTCCAGATTCAGATAAAAATTATCTATGAATTTTTGATTGTTTGCTTACAGATTTGTGATTATATAATATAATCAGGAGAACATGCTTTCTTAATTTTTTCTTTGATTTCAGATTTATATTCATAAATTATATTTTGTACAAGGAGGAAATATGGCCATTAAATAATATAATCATTTCAAAATTCTCTATCATAATTTCAAGTAATTTTTCTTTTTTGTTTAATTTTAAAAATCATAAATTGTATCTTTAAGAATTAATTACAAATAAGATAATACATTTGTAAAATTCATCCTGTAAAAATTATATAATTTAGTTATATCACTATATTATATTGAAATTTCAATATTATGTAATCTATTTTAAAAGCATTATGCAGAAGTAAAATAAATAACTACATAAAGATATGATAATATTAAAATATCTCACTGTTTGTAAGCAGGTTTCTTGTTTAATTTTGGTTAACCATTTTGTTTTCTCTTCCTTACAGAGTGTCATTATGATATAACCTGTAAAAAAAAATTAAACAGTTTTATAAAATAAGATGATTTACCTTTTTTTTTATTCAACCAAACCAGTTAAGACCTAAAATGTATTAACTTAAGAATGTAAATTTAGGGATGAAAGAACGTAAAGACAAAAAATACAGTAGACTCCCCTATAAAACGGGTTCATATAATTCAGATTTGTATATAACAGCAAAAAAATTGCAACCATATTCATATAAACATGCTAAAAAAGACTCCTATAACACAGTAAAACGTCATCGCCGACTTGTGTCGCGACAGGATTGGTCGAATCTAGACCAATAGCGGGTATTGCACAAACCGTTAAGTTTGAACGAGTAGCAGACCTACTAAAAACCATTTATTATTTAACGGCCATAAAAATTATATTTATATTAATGATGCCTCCAAAGTTCAGAGAATTTTTCGCAAAAAAATAATTTATCAGGAAACACGCACACCCCCGTTCGATGCGCTGCTCCGCGATGAAAACAAACTTAAGCAATGGCGTCATCGAACGGTGCACACTCAGTAAGTAATCCTACAGTTTTTTGTTTATAGCATAGTTTATATGGATTATTCCCAAAAAATTATACATGTTTTGGAAATGTTGAATCAAATTAGTCTAGAATCGATTACTTTTATGGAAGAAAACCTTTCAAATAGCCGTATCCGCTAAACTGCACACGTGCCCGGCTGTGATTGGTTCATGTATTTAAGGACACGTAGAACATAAATTTCATAAAGAACGAAACATATCTACCGTGTTATGGGGGGTGGACTGTACATTTTTTATTTTAAAATAAAATATATTTTGGAATTATCATAACTATATTGTCTTTCATAAGTTAGTTTTACCTGACTGACACATTCTTTCCATTCCTTTATGATACCAGCTAGAAAATAATTGCCGATTTTTGATCTGGGAGTACCAAATATCTTGTTGTGGATCATACGGTTTAAAAGAATAGCATATTAGAAAAAGTGCTGCAGCAAATCTACAGGCTTCCTTCCAATTTCCTTGTTCCTAAATGTAACATTTTATATAATACAGTATATAAAAGATATACAAATAAACTATTATATAGTCATACCTTCTTTGCTCTTTTCATTAGTAATGTTGCTATTCGAAAATAAAGTTGGCCTCTCATGTGAGAAAGAAAATAGTCCCAACTTTTATCATGTGGTTTTCTTAATTTCCATACTTTATATAAATGTTGATCAAATCTATAAGATTAATACATTATATATAATTCTTTCCTACCTTTATATCTTTGAAAATGTAAGAAAATAATATATCTATATATAAAAAAGTCAAGATATTATGTTTGTTAGGTTATATAATGTTCGACATATCCACACCAAATTGGCATGAATATTCTGCAACACCCTAGAAAAAAATATTGTGAAGATCCCCACCCTCTCTTAACTTAAGCTGAAACAATTTTTGTATTTTGCAGTTTTATTATTATAAATACTTATTAACTAAAATGTACATTTATTGACCTAAGACCATTATTTTAACCCCCTCTCCCAAACCAATCTCACAAATCTCCCACTCTCTCAAAAGCCCAGTATATGCAGCTAGTAATTTTACATAAATTTAAATTTTTATAAGATTCATCAAATTCAATGAATAAATATGTTAAATAATTTATTTTATTCAATCAATATTAATTACTATGTTATATGATATATTTATTAAATGAAACCTGTGAAGCAAATGTCATTTGCATCTTAAACTGATGTAATTCCATCTCTCTGTTGTTTAGAATATTTAGTACTGGTTCCAATAGAAGAGAGTTGAAATTAAATTAAAATTTTAACTTCAATGCCAGCATATGAATCTGGTCAACCAAACTAGTTTTCATTTTATTATTATTATTATAATAAGAAATTTCTTTTTAATCTCATTTTTTGGAAGTTACATTTCTGACAACAAAGGGCAAGTTATCATACGATTTATTCCAGAACATAAAAGTAAATGTTAAAAAAAAATGACCATTTTGATGGACTGTCTTCAATTTTAATTAGTATGAAAATTGGAAATGGGCAAATATTTTTCGCGAATTCAAATATTCAACTATCTCGAATAATCCAAACACAAGGAAACTGTTGGAGTGTCTTCTAATAAATTTTAATAAAATTTAGTTAATAACTACGTTAAAAGTATACAAACTCTACTTTAAATTTGTAGCATTCACTAAAAGTGTTGATCAGAGTATTAGCAATCAAATGTTGCACTACTTTATAGTAATTTAGCACAATTACGCAAATTTTTAGAAGTGAAAGGGTCGCGGAGGAAGACGGCGATATTACATTTAGAATAAATTCTGGAATTTTCAAAAATGGTTGAAGAATTAATAAAATTTAGTTAATAATTATGTTAAAAGTATACAAAATTTTATTAATTCTTCAACCATTTTTGAAAATTCCAAAATTTATTCTAAATGTAATATCGCCGTCTTCCTCCGCAACCCTTTCACTTCTACAAATTTGCGTAACTGTGCTAAACTACTATAAAGTAGTGCAACATTTGATTGCTAATAACTCTGATCAACACTTTTAGTGAATGCTACTAATTTAAAATAGAGTTTGTATACTTTTAACGTAGTTATTAACTAAATTTTATTAAAATTTATTAGAAGACACTCCGACAGTTTCCTTGTTAGTGAACTTAATTACCTTATATAACTTATTTAATATTTATTATTTAAGCTGTTTCATGTATTTCACTATATTTATAAATCAATAAAGTAAAAAGAAAAATAACTGAATTTTCATTTCTTAAAATTTAGTAAAACTTTTAATTTTGACTTTTAAAGTAGCTTTTTTTTTTTTCAGGATTCTTTCTCAACAACAACACACTAACAAATAACTGGTCATGTTCTCACCTACTGCAGATTTTTATTTATTTAAGAAAACAAGAATCTGAAAATGTTTACAATCTAATCTGCTTCTTTTTCTGTCACAAATTAAATCACAGGTACTAGAGGCTCTGTCTGTATGTAGTGACAGATACAAGGAGATATTGTATCACAAAAAACACATATACACACACACAAAAATTTAAAGTTTGTTTGTTTGAACTTCAAAACATTTTTAAAAGCATTTATGATAGCAAATATAATATAATACAATCATTTTGCACATTTTAATAAAAAGTACTTCTTAATTATTCAAATATTTTAAATTTTTGAGTAGTCTCCCCTTTGTTTGTATCTGGATCCATCATGATTTCTCTCTGGTCTCCAGTATCAGTGCCATACATGTGTGGCACAATATTGGAGGTATTCATAGTATTCAAATTAAATTTCTTTTATCAACACAATATTAAAGATCTCATATACCATTTCATATTAAAGTATTTGAGTATTCACAGATAGTATTTGCCCATCTCTAATGAAACTTATCATCCAGAAAATTTTATCATTTTTAAATTTTTATAATAGATTCATTGAAAATTTGAAATAAATATAGTCTTGTCAAAAACAAAATAAATTTTTTAATTAAAAGTATTGTAATACTGAATGATATGTAATTGAACTTCAAAATAAATTTCATTATTCTAATATATTTTTAAAACTGAGAAACTTTGAACACTGATTTTATGTAAAAGTCTTTCATGGTAAACATAACCATACATAACCAATAGTGAATAAATTAATAAATAACAATGTTTCAATAACAAAAAGTTCACTAGAGATGATGGAAATCAGACTGAAAAAACTCACTTTTGAATTAATAAGTGATAAGATATATTACTGAAAATAAAGAAAATGATGATAAAAATAAATACATTTTGTATTCAAGAAAAAATAAATATTATTAAAAACATTGGAAATTTCAAACCAGTTTGACAATATTTTAAAACTATTAAGCTTATGTAAGATTGTGCTTACAAACCTAATGCAGAGATAACTCATCTTTTCTGATGTAATTGCAGTTATTCAATAAAAGATGTCTCATTTCTTTAAATTGCTTTTAAATCTTTCAATAAACATAAATTATAAAAAACAGTCAAGCAAATTAATTTTAAAAAATGAGACTAATAAGATAAAAGGATATGATTAGAAATAATTACTAACTTCAAAAACTCTTTATATTACAAAGTTCAAATGCTTCTTAATATTTTTGAAATGTTACATGCCATTAATAAATTTCATAATTTTTAGTGATTAAAGAAAGGATTGTCTCTCTCCTTGTCTGTCTCATGCAAGTAAAATTTATTCATTTCTCTTTGTTAAAATCAAATAACAATAACATCTTAACATATGGATAAAATTTATAGGATGGACTTGAAATAATAAAGATAACAAATGATACACTTTCAAGAAGATATTAATGTCAATAACTACCCATTTGATTATCATTACTATTAGTCTTGAGTTAAACTTGAAATTTCCAACATAACTTTTTTAGAAATGTCCTGTGTATTCTGTGATATACTTACACATTTAAATTGCATGCAGCATTACATACTCCATTTTTTTGACTTAAATTTTCAATAAATGTGGATGGTTCTGCCAAAGTTAAGCCAACAAGATGATCCCATATGGTAAGTAAATGAAAATAAAAGTCATCATCTAACTCAACATCAGCTTCTTCTTGATAAGCCTAAAAATATCAGTTTTAAATTCCAAATTTTGAGATTAAAAAAACAGAATTATAATGAAAAAAAAACTAAAAATTTCCAAAATGCATTAAAAGATATTGGAATAAAAATATATAATTGATCAAAAATGTTAATTTCACACAAATATTGTGAATATTCATTAAGTAAACAAATTTTAAAATACTAGGTAACTATAAAAATGGACAATACCTCAAATATTTCTGTAAGACAGTCATACCAATCAATGTTATTTGGATATGGAATTTTACTTTCAATTTTCAATGCATATTTGAAAGCTTCTTTTACACGTTCGGTATCTATGTATAGTTTTAATAATTTTATATGGAGTGTAACATCTTTTGGGCGAGCTGCCTGTAAATATATTAATAAAAAATATATTTTTTCAGAATAAATAATTAAAATCTTATATTAGTGTATTACGGTAGTCTCCACTGAACTTAGACCAGGCTGCAGTTAACATGTCAACTAATAAATAGGTTTTAAAAAAAGTAGCTTTGATTCATTGCATAGATGCTTTACATAATTTAGAACAAATATACAGTAATTAAACTTTATTTTTGCTAAATATCAACTTGATATCTTGCAGGTTTAACAAGGTTGAGCCAGTCAAACTTAAGTCACAGGCATCAAAAACAGACCACTGTGTTATCCATGTCAATGAACATAGTCCATTGCATGTTTAATATTTTGTTGCATCATTTTTTGCAGCCAAAATACCTTCCATATGAATTCCTGAATACAGACACTGACACACTTATTTAACTTTAGCTTTGTTTGGGTTGCTATGCCTTGACTCTGGTCCGGCATAGTACCCAGCTACCCAGTCAACTCTCACAGTGACTGTATTTGTTTGTAGTGAAGGTTTACTATGTCAATCAGGCCACGTCCGCCATCTTTACATGGAAGGGTTAATCTTTCTGTGGTAGATTTAAGATGATATTTTTTATGCTTAGTAAGTGTTGTTCTTGTTTTCTTTTGGAGTTGTTCAAGATCTGTGTGAGTCCAATGTATAGCTCCAAAAGAGTATGCAAGTACTGGGATGCCATATGTTTTTATTGCTTTAATTGTGTGTTTTGCATTTAACTGTGTTCTGAGAATAGCATTTAACCTATTTTGGTATTCTTTAATTAATCTTTGCTTTATTTGTATATGTTCTGTTAGTTTGGCCTGTTGAAATCCTAAATACTTGTAGAACTCGCCCTCTTTCATGGATTCAATAGCATCTCCATTTCCAAGTGCAAAATCTCCTTTCTTCAGGATTCCTTTTTCTATGTGAAGTGTTTTGCATTTGTCTAAGCCAAACTCCATTTGTATGTCCTTGGTGTATGAATGTGTAATTTGTAGGAGTCGATGAAGTTATTTTTGTATGGATGCATAAAGTTTTATGTCGTCCATGTATGTGAGATGTGACAGCATAAACTCTGTTGTTTTTTCATGTCTGATATTGTAGCCATTATCCAACATATTGTTTAACATATTGGATAATGGGTTCAAAGCTAGGCAGAACCAGAGAGGTGAGTCCTCTCTGGTTCTGCCTAGGAAAGCCTCTCTGGGAGTCTCCTTGAAAAATTCCTCACCTAATGAATATTTGGTTTGTTTGTATGGAAATGTTACTAACCCCAAGATGTAGTGTTGTTCTCTAGTGCTGCATAGTATTTTGGAAGAATGCAATGAGTGATGGATGTATTTTGTACATGTGTAGAATATGCAGCAACCGTGTGAAACACTGTCAAATGCTTTTCTGTAGTCTATATATGCCATGTGTATGTTTCTGTGCTGTTTGTGTGCTTGCCATAGAATGACTGAATCTTTGAGTAACTGTTCTTTGCATCCTGTGATTTCTATGGTGTGAGAATACGAAGGCACAGGATCAATCCCTAATTGCCACTTACATGTCAAGTTGGTAAAACTCCCTCACTTTGTCTTTTGGATGGCTTTTTTCGAATGGCAAGGGGATTGAGTAAGTCGGCAGGTGTTCGTGTTTCAGAGTGACAGGAGACAGGTTTTAACAGATAACAAAAATTTATTACATAACTAAATCTAGATTACAGGTTATAGGAAGTTAGACACAGTTAAACGCAGTTAAATACTAATGAAGTTCTATACAAAAAAGGTAGCTCTCAGCTAAGCCTATTCCCATTAGCTGTGGAGAGAGAGTTCTCAGATCGCTATCAAAATATCTCTATGAGGGAAGGAACTGTATGCGACAATCGGTCCATAGGAAGAATCATTGTCCTTGTCCATTGTCTTCTCGGCAGGATCAGGGACTCAGAGACTAAATGTGCACTATTTCAGGTACAACTTCCTTTCAATTGCCTTGAGCTTCTGGTAGCTCTCGTTTTTATATGTTCGTCATGGGAAAGAGATCACATGATTGTCCGATTGTTGACAACGACAGTGCATTCTTGATAACTAAGTGTCAACTTTCCCACTGACCTCCAATCTGACTCTCTGTTTTTTCGGGGATGTTTATATTTCAAAAAAAAAAAAAAACCAATCAGCATTAATTTTAAGATCCGCTTAAAAATCAGAAAAAAAAGGTTGTTTTGTTTTACTGTAAGAATATTGTGTTCTTCAACATGTTTGTATATTTTGTTTGTGATACAGGATGTCAATAATTTGTAGTGTGTTGGAAGACATGTAATTGGTCTGTATTATGTGGGATCTGTGGTGGTGTTGTATTTAGGTTTCGTATAGGTGATGCCCTGAGTAAGAAATTTTGGCATGCCTTGTGGGTTGATGATGATTTGTGTTAGATGTTTAGCTAGTTCCTGGTGCAGTGATGTAAACTTTTTGTACCAGAAATTGTGAATGTTGTCTACACCAGGTGTCTTCCAGTTGTGTGTTCTGTTAATGGCGTAGCAAATGTCATGTATGTTTATTTCAGCACAGGGCATAGTTGGTATGTTGTGCAAGTTTCTGTTCTCCTCCTTGATCCAGCCTGTATCAGCATTGTGTGTAACAGCATTGGACAAAGAGAAGACCAATAAGTTGTGAGTTCTTCTTCTGTTGGTGTGCCATTATGCTGTGTATCAGTATTTGTTTTGGTACTAATTTGTCTGTGAAAGTTTTTATCGTTATTTATAAATAACTTATTTTGTTGTTTTCATAGTGTACATGTTTTGTATCGTTTGAGCCTATGTGCTTTGGCTACGAGTTTCTGTTTTAGTGTATCAATGTATTCTGTAATGTGTGTGTTGTGATATTCATGTTTTGTGTGTGTTTTGATTTTCTTGAAAATGTTTTTCAGTTGTTTCTTTAATTTGGGTGTTATGTTGTTTTTAGTGTATTGTGTCAGCATGCCTAATTGCTGTCTAATGTCATTTATCTGTGTTTCTATTCTCCTCTGCCAGGCAGGCTTGTGATAGAATTGTGTTTTGTGTGTATCTGTCTGCAATTGTATTTTCATTCCATGGTGTGTCACTACTGTGACTGCACCAGCATAAACTAATGTATGAATGTCTGAGAGTGTAGAAATTGAATGAATGTAGTTTGGTAGTAAGTGAGTTTACATAATTTAGTGTTTTTCCTACTACCTTTGATGTGTTGATTTTCGGTATTCGTGGTCTTTGTGTGGGATGTGTGCCTGTATATTTAGTGAGTGTTTCCTGAAATATAAGTGAGAGAGTATTAACTAATTCTATGTCTATGTTATCAGTGATGGATGAGGAAGTGCCTGTAGTATCATTAGTGATAGTTATTGTATGTGTGCTATTATCAATGCTTGTTGCTGGATTATCCTGACAGGTTACCTGATCTTCATTAATGTTAAGTGTTTCTGTCTGTTGATGTATTTGATCAGCAGCCTGTTGTTTGATAAGTTCAAGTGTTGTTTGTGGGATAAGGTTGTTGTGTATTATTATTATTAAACTGAATTCTACTGACATTTTTTTTTTCAAATAAAAAGATATATTATTTTAAACAGCTAAAACCTAGTATATATTATGTTGTAATGTATTTTACATTACATTAATATACACATTTTTGCATTTTTTGAGCTATCATTTTTCTCTACATAAAAAGTGAAATTAACATGAATATATTATAAATGTAAATTAGAACTCTTTCTAACAAATCAAAAACTGATTATTAACACGTTCCTTCTGTGATATTAACATTCCAATAATCAAAATAGACTGAAAAAGATAAAAAATACACACACATACGCACGTTCAAATAATTGTTTAACAATTTGGATTTTAACTTTAATTAATTATTTTTTATAGAATAACTGGCCCATAAAATTTAAATATTTCCAGCATTTATTTTATTTATTTTTGAGATTTCAATCCAAAAATATTCATTATTCTTTAATATTATAATGTTTCAATACATAGATTATATTATAAGTATTTCATTGCAACATTTATAATTTGTTATCCAATTAATAACATTAAACAATATTAAAATAAGAAGTTAAAGAATACAAAGCCATGTCAACATTTATGTAATAATGTCATGAACATGTTACCACTGTTACCACTTGATATCAGTTTGGATGGGGAAAAAGACCCCACAGCATCATACATGGTGTCATTTAAAGGCTTTTGCAAAACTGTTCACCACTGATTCATTACTTATCAGTTTTTCAACAAACCATTAAAGGATGAAACAGTATGAAGTACATCTCATGATAGTACACATGTGAACATATTTTTAATCAGCTATAGCAGACTCCATGTTCACTAAAAAAAAGTGGTTCATTCAAATACTATGCAAAATTTATGTCTCAGTGTATGGCATAAAACAACACACATCAAAATTATTCTCTCTCTGTTTGCAAAAAATGATATGTGTTATGATTTGTAATGAGATAACAAAACACTGTTCACAACAATTGTTACATAGATGTGGATATTGCTTAAGAATGCTCAATATTCTACAATAAACTATTATAAATATTTAAAATACATTTATTTATATAATGTCTGCTTTAATATGAAAATAAATTCAGAAACATCAAATTTAAATTTCAAAATTTACCTTAACATATTTGTTGTCAGTTGATGTAATTCTGTCATGTGACCCTCACGAGATACAAAATCACATCAACTGGTGGCAAACATATGAAGAATGATAAATACTAAGATTACTCAACATTTACACAAAATTTCAGTACAGAATATTTTAATTTATATTTATACACACTATATATGTAGGCAACTTATTTTTTGTTAACTTACCAATTCTGTAGTAATAAGTTTTTCAAGACCTTGATGATCTGGTTCTCCATCAAAAGTCACTAAATGTTCCTTTAAAATATTAAAATTCTTTAAATTTCAATACATATATAATTAAATTAATTCATATCTGATCCAAAAAAGTATTAAAAATAATATTTACATTTGAAGTTAATAGAATATAAAAGTTATGTACTTATGAATAATTTTATAAGAATATAAATATCTTTAAATTTGAATAATTTTTAAATATTTAAAATTTATCTAATAAATTTTTTTTAATACTAAATAGAAAAAAATGTCATCATTTAAAAGTAAAGTCACACATACACAACATAATTTTTTAATACAGCATCTTCCATTTTATACACATACTGTATGTAAGCATGTATGAGGTATGAATAATATGGTTGCAATTTAAAACATTTAAAACATGATGGCCTTAACTGATTATAACACACTAGTAGCCTAGGATGCCCCCTAGTGGGCATTCTAGCAGCAGCAGCGTCATTCCGTGGTATAAATAATAAATTCATATCAATAATAAAATCCTATTACAAATAAAAATATATATAGATACTTATAAATACTATAATAATACACAATATATATAGTATATAGATACTTGCAACATGGCATCTGGTGGTTTTTTTTTGTTTTGTTTATCAAGAACTGTCTTAATCTTACCCATTTTTGGTTTCTTAATATTTTGTTATGTTATTCGTTATATATGTATTTTATATTTAAATAATAGCTAGGGATGCCTCTAGTGGTCGTTCTAGGCATTCCATTACAGATTACAGATATACAAACAGTGCGATCAATGGCTTATATTATTAGATTTTATTTTTTTTTTATTTTTACTAAACAAGCATTTGCATATATCATATCCAGAATTAATGAAAGAGAATAAACAGATATAATGTTATAAAAAATGTATTTAAAATATTAAAGTAATAATGAAACTAATGATAAAATAGAAATTTTACTTTAAGTTGCTAAACTAAGTTTTATAACTAAAAATTTTTAAAACATCTTAATCATCATCAAAACAAAGATATTGAAACAGCATACAAAGTGTCATCCAGTTTTCTTAAAATGAGAACATTACTAATTTAATATTTAGTAACAAATCTTTAAAATAAGTATATTATATTTTTAAATTTTGAATAATTAAAGATGAATTAACTTTAAGTAGAAAAACAAATGTGCTTTATACAATATAAAGCACATTTGTTTTTCTAAATCAAAATGTATTTCATCAAAATGTAATTCATATTAAAAATATAATAAATAACTTCAGAAAAATTAATTCTTTTCAAACAGATAAACCTGCTCCAGGAGATTTTTATAATCTTATTAAAAAGTTTCCAAGAAAAAAAATTACTCTAACTAGAATTTTCTTTTTTTTTTATTTCTGTATTAAGATACAATTTTGTTTTTTATTTGTATACTTTTTACCAGTTTGACAAATTCACATTTATTAGATAATAAATTTTCAATTTATTTTGACTACTCTTATGAATTTTCTATATCAACTCAGAATAGTCAAAAAATTTACAACATTCAAATTTATTATCATACTAGCCGCTTCGCTGGGTTTTTATTTGTATGTAATATAGTTTTTTTATATATAAAAGACTGTTTTTCTAAGTAATCTAGAATCTAGCTGCAAGGACCTGCTTTGCTGGGCAAAAAGTAACAACAGTGAAGATTAAGATAATTACATTATAGCCAATCTTATCCGTTTTCACAGAATGCAAGAATTAGGTCCCCCGTTTCCAGACTAATTAGAGAATTTTTACACAAGTCTAAAAATATGTTCGATTTCCCGCAAAAAACCATCTGTAAATCTTGCATGCCACTTTATATTAACACTTCCTTTGTTACTCAACACTTCCATTGTTATACATCTTCAAAGTCAACCACTTTCAACCCCATATGCAAGAATTAGGTCCCCTGTTTCCAGACTAATAAAGAATTTTTACGTCCAGTCAAATGAACTATTTTCAATTTGATCAATTTTCTGGAACGTTTACAATCTTTCTATAATCGAACCAATTCGAATTCGAATACAAATTCAAATTTAAAACAGTTCAAACATTTTTAAAATCAAAATAGAAAATCTTTGAAGTCAACCACTTTAAGCACCCATATCTCCCGCATCCTTATAGCTATCGAGACGCAACCACCATAGTGCACGAATGGAGACTTGGGGCTACTACCACATACAAACACCATTCATGTGCAATGTGTAGTTTTGGCTAAAAAGTGAAATATAGGGACACACACATCCATATATATATATATATAGATTTGAAAATGTATTATAGTTCTCTATTGGAAAAGTTTTTTAAATGCTGTGAAACTCCCAAATATCTAAAACATGTTTTTAAAGGTTATTAAAACATTTGTAATTCTTTATACATTAGAAAATGAGTAGGAAATTATTACTTACAATAAACTTATATTACTTGAAGTCTGATGTAAACAAAATGTAACTACATTTCTTCAGACTAAACAGATTAAATTCATTGTAAGACTGTATTTTCTATTAATTTCCCTTGTATTTAGATGTCAAAGGTCAACAGTGCTATTTTAACAATTAGAAAATTTCTGTCGTTTTTAAATTTCTCTTATTCAACGTAAAACACATTTAACTAACTAATAATTTTAATAAATAGCCTTTTTTTTATAACAATTATATTATTAGATTTTTAATTTGAATCTTTTAATATATTAATTCATTCAGGATGGGCCTGAATGCAAATTTTTATATATATTAAATTAAAAATATATTTCAATAGATGTTAATGGATGTATAAAAAAGTAAAGATTATGTAAAATTAATTTTTAAAAAACACTTTTATATATTGTGTGAATCAATAAATGAAAATTTATTGCTGTGTGAAAAAATAATATATATATATATATAGCTATTAAATGCAAAACTCTAAATTTTAATTTCAACAACTTTGTTTTGAAGATCATCATTAGTTCCAAACCTCTGCCCTGCTAGCCATATTTTCAGTTCAGGAAAGAGGTGGAAGTCTTCACACATTAAAAAGTTTTAAACTGGGTAGAAGTCTGAAAGATGGAAATCTTCACACTTTTAAACACCAAGTGTATAGCCCCGATTTAGCACCAAGCAACTTCCATGTCTTTCCTGAACAGGAAAGTAGCTAGGAGGGCAAAGGTTTGAGACTAATGACAATCTTCAAAAAAAAAAACATTAGGGCCCATTTCAAGTTATTGGCAGCAACATTCTATGACAAGGGGATGGAAAAGCTCATCCACAGATATGATAAATGCCTCAATCTTCACGGTGATTATGTCAAAAAGTAACCATGTTTGTACCTAACTTTTGGTAATAAATTCATTTTGTTATTTACACTTGTATTTTTTTTTATGGACCATCAGAGCTTGAAAAAAAACAGCCTATGCATATATCATGAAGTACCAGTGTCATTTTAGAAATTTTTAACTTAATTTAAATGTATATTGTCAGATGTGAATAAGATAAAATGATTAATAAAAACTTACTCTTAATTTGAAAATTACTTCATGATGTGGAAAAAGTTGTTCAGCACGATCTGCCCAATACTAAAATATAAAAATAAAAATTTTAAATAAGCTGCTAAATCATTTGAAACAAAAAAAAATGGAATATAAACAAATTATCAAATATAAAATATACCATGGTAAATTTATTTATGTTACATTTAATATTTACAGTACACACAATATAAAAATTGATCTGTAATTTTACGAACCAGCCTATTCAATCTTTATTGAACAATCTGGCAGAAGAGTATAAAAATAACAACATATCCCATTTTTAAATGGAGTTAAATGAAGATTTAAATTACACACAATAAATGTACTATAACAGTGTCAATATATTTTGTCTGCTTTTTTCATTTTTGTTTTGTTGTCAATAGCAGTTTTGGATGGCTGGATGGTAAAAGCGATTAAGGCATCAGCCTATTACTCTGGGAACTAAGGATAAAATCTGGGTGAGCAATGTTGAGAATTTTTTTAAAAGATGGTCTGTCCTAGATATATTGGCCCCTGTTCCTCATCACCTGGCCATTGTGAAACTTGGCCAAACTCACAATGGGCATGATTAAAAAAAAGCCCCTCTCTTAATGCCACAGGGTAAAAAGAGGAAAGAGGGAGAAGTAAGTTCACAAACATGAATTCACTTTCTTTAATTATTTTTTTAAACATAAAAATAAAAATTTATCATCATTTTCTTGAAAAATCATGTATTACATGAAAGATAATATTCTGTATAACAAAGAAATCCTAGCATTACCTGTTAACTGACAATATAAGAAGTTATAAATATTCCCCACATTAGTTCTTTCTTTTTTTCTAATTTTTAAATATTTTATCAATATATTTCTTATAAACATTTATTAACATTAAAGCAGATTTTTATTTTATTCTCAAATCTACAATTTTATAATCATCTATTTCTTACACTAATATATCATAAAAATTTTATCTCAATGAAAATTCACAAACAATTTTACATTACTATAATGTCTAAAAATTAATGTTCTCTTCTAAATTTAACATTTATTTTCCCCACTATTTTTTTAAAAATAATCATCTTTAACTAATAAAAATAATAAAAGAAATTGTTAATTTTTAAATTAATTTTTTATTTTATTATTTATTACTATTTTTTAGTTTGAAAATAATTTTTTAAAATTTCCCACTTTAATGAGACAAGCACTATTTATGACTAAAGTATACTGTCATTAATAAATGAAGCATTGACAAGACCATTGATTTTTTATTAACGATTTTGATAATTATATACAGAATTAATAAAAGTAAGATTTTGTTTTTGAACTGAATTCTGAACAAGCCCAGGTTCGTACCTTTTGAAAGGTACGGACCTGGGCTTGGATTCACTAACACCTCATGCCCTAAGTTACGACAAAATTCCTGGTAAGTTGCCAGATACAAAAAATCTTATATTCACTAGGTACAGTACATTGTAATTTATAATATTCTAAAAAGTCTCAAATACTACAATATCTAATAGCTCTTGTAAGCTGATGTACTGAGAAAGGCAGTAGCTGAGTATTTGGCTCTATCAATAGATAATTGTGACAATCATTTTTCTTGGTTGTCTGTTTTAAATATTTCCAAATTGAAACTTCTAAGATGTTATCAAATACCAAAAAAAAAAAAAATTGATAGAATTTCACACAGTGGATTTAAAATCGTTTATAGAATGTCATACAAATAAATAGAATGTCATATAAAGTATAGTGTGTCATATAAAATCTCATTCATTATATGTTAGTTTTTTGGTTTAAAAAAAAATCTTATTAGTTTGTGAATTTCTTTCAATATTTCTATCAATACAACTACCATTATCAATTTTGGGCAGATTTCATTCCACACCTCTGTCAGTTACAGTTTTCAATATTAGTGAGTTTTAGGTAATATCTATTAAGACCACTGCAAATTAGGCAATATTAAAGCAAACTGGTTGAAGCAAATTTGTTCGACCATCACCCGCTTGATGGCTATCAATTGCTCATCACTGACTCAACATCACTATATGTCATACCCTTCAATGAAAAGTAGGTGGTCCATTTGGCACCTCTCAAATCCAAGAAGTTGGATTTTTTGGGCAGTGATCACAGACACTCATTCGCATTTAAAAGTTTGCAAGAAAAAAGCATACACCATAAGCCACAAAGGCAATGCTCATTTATGCTTCATGTTTCAGTCATGTCTTTGCTAAACTGGGATTATGAAACAGAGCTGTTTGATAGATTCTCATAGAAGTAAGAATATAAATTACTTTATTGATTTTATTGAAATTTATAAATATATCAGGTCTGTGATTTCATTTTTATTTATTTATTAAATTTCTGACAAATGGACAACAAATGAAAGCAGCCAAAGCTAACTGATCTTAGCTTCAGCTGCTTTCATTTATTTTTCGAATGAAGTTGTCATCATAGTTGTCATTTTACAAAACAAACTACCAAGCAGTAATTCATAGAGGAGTAGACAAAACGTTCATTCTGTAGAACTATGTCATGAGTGATACTACAAGCGGCAAATTTGCCTGATTGTTGAAGCAAACAGTCACGTGACCATAAAAATTGGATCTTATGTCTTGTTGAAAGTGACAGCATTGCCTAGTTTTCATTGGCCTTTACACACACAAATAACTTGCCTATATGTAATTCCTATACATTTTAATTCTAATGAAATAAAGTGTTAGCTTTCCTCGGACATTGAAAACGTGTGATATGAAAAATTTCCAAAAATACACCATAAAGAAATGCCTTCCTATTAGCTATTAAAATGGTAGTCATCATTAACCTTTCAACAGTGGACTAGTCAGGTATGGTTCTACCCCCAGTAGTGGAGAATAAATGTGGGAAATTTTTAAAGTATTTTGTTGCACATTTTTTCTCATTACCATTTCAGAAAAAGATTTTGTGAACAGTTATGTCTACTAAAAAAAAGTATTTTTTTATTGTTACATAATTCATTTTTTAGGTGAATTTTTTTTCATGGTAGTTTTTGGCAATACCCCCAAAAGAATTTAACGGATATATCCCTCCTTCACTGCTGAGTGGTTAGTGATGTCATAAGACATCACTAACCACTCAGCAGTTTCTTCTGTTTTGTCATAATGCTACAAATTTCTTCTGTTTTGTCATAAATGCTACAATTTTTTTTGTGAATACAAATTATAAAATATCATTAGTGTCTGGAAACTTTATGTTATTGGAGATATACTATGTCATATCTTATTATCTTAAGAGATGTTCCTGACCCCAAATATTTACATTTGTTTTTTAAATGCATTGTTGTTTGAATAAAAATCATTTTATAACTATAATAAATAATATTGTCTTCATTTAAAAACTAATTTTATTTCATCAATATTGCATTATGTTCTTTAGAACAATAAACATAAAAACTTGTTCATATTAATTTTATTTTGAAGCTTTTTAAGTAAAAATATAAATTATCAATACGATACAGTAGAGCAGTGTTCCGCAACCGGTGTGCTGTCACAAGGTGTGACATGACTTTTACATATTCTATTAATTTCAAGTTTTATTTATATATTTTTATTGCAGTTGTTGTGTTTCTTATGCTTGTATTTCATTCACTGATGAAATAAGATGATGTTAAAGCAATAAACACATGTCATCCCAAGTACTTACTTATTCTTTTGGAGTTATATCAATACATTGGACTCACATAGATCTTGAGCAACTCCAAATGAAAACAAGAACCCCACTTACTAAGCATAAACATCATCATCCTAAATCTGCCACAGAAAGATTAATCCTTCCACGTAAAGATGGCGGACGTGGCCTGATTGACATAGTAAACTTTCACTACAAACAAATACACACACTGCGAGAGTTTTTCTACAAAAGTAAGAAACATCACAGTTACATAAAGCAGTAACTCTAGCAGACTCAAATAAAATCACCATTAAAATTACATTTGCATCATATGGACAAGACAGACCATATAAAAAGCACAGACACGATGAAGCAATCGTGGGCTCGAAAGGCACTCCACGGCAGGCATCCCTATGACCTAGTCCAGGATTTTGTTGACAAAATTGCATCAAACAGCTGGTTAGATCAGGGATGCCTCTTTGGGGAGATGGAAGGATTTATGATTGCCATACAGGCTCAGGTCATAAATACTAAAAACTACAGAAAACACATACTGAAAGATATAACACTCACAAATGACTCTTGCATAAAACGTCACATCATACCAGAAACTATGCAACACATCGCTTATAATTGCAAACTCTTGGTACAGACATAATTTACATTGACATAATCAAGTAGCAAATACATCAAGAGCTTGCAAAGAAACACAAATTATTAGACATCCATTAACCATATTACAAATACATTCAACAGACAGTATTGGAAAACAACACGCACAAACTGTACTGTGACAGTCATAATCACAGATAAAACAATTTACCACAACAGACCAGACATCACACTCATTGACAAACACAATAAAATCACATACATTATAGACGTAGCCATTCCAAACACTCACAATGTACAAAACACATGCACTGAAAAAATCAGCAAGTACACGGAACTTGCCCAGGAAATAAGGTATCTGTGGAGGATAGATAGGGGTGTTTATTGTACTTGTTGTTCTCTCCTCTACAACTGTCATACCACAAACGCTACACAAAAGTCTGGGAACATTAAAATTGAATAGAAACACATACATCACACTACAGAAGGCCTCTTATATCGAATACGTCATATTGTTAGGAAATTCCTGAATACAGACACACAATGACACACTTATTTAATTTTTGTCTTTTTTTTGAAGTTACTATGCCTTGACTCTGGTCCTACATAGTACATGGCCATCAGTGTCCACCTAATGTAACTCACAAAACTCAACATAATTGAGTTTTGTGGTTTATGGCATTACAAAATTCTATTAATAGTATCATATCATACGTTATTGAGGAGAATAACATTTTGGTGTGCTATGTTGAGTCATAGGTGCGCTGTGAGTAGAAAAAAAGTTTGCTGAACACTGCACTAAAGCATCATTTATCCAAAAGCCAATCAACTGAAATGTTGGTTAACCGAAAGGTGTTCCAGTCGAACTGTGTCATGCTGAATTGAACATTTTTGATACTAGATTAACTTCCAAAATATAATTTTTTTGTTTTTATATCTTTTAATATATTTATTTTGTTTGTACAAAATAAAGAAATAATGAAAAATAAGTTATCCGAACAACCCCAGTCCTCAATTGATTTGGATAAACAACACTCTACTGTACTTCAATCTATTCATTAACTTTAAAAATGTTTAGATAAGAATTGCTTAAATTTTATAAATTAACAATTATATTATAGTAGTTCCTAAAAGCCATAATACTAATATTTCTTACAGGAATTTGTTAGGGAATAATTTTTAAGGATTTCACTATGGTAACCGTAATATTAGTGTGTTATATCCTCTATAAGCCAAATTCAACATGCTTGTGAGATTTCTCTGGTTATTCAAAAAAACCCAGACACAACTGATCAAATTAGCTTTATTTTTTCTTTACAGAAAAGAAGGAACATGATATATGCATTACGGATCAAAGTTTTAATATATAACCCCTCTTCAGTGTTACTGTATAAAACACAACAAGGTTTAATAATAAAAAACGTTTCATTTTTTTTTTAATTAATAAAATCAAGAGGAGATAATCACTCCAAATGCATTTACAGTGTGTTCTTACTCAGAGATCATAAAAATGTAGGTGATATTGGATGATAAAAATATAAAATACATTACATTTTTGCAGGGCTCCTATAGTAAAAATATACTTAACTAAATTAAACCAAAACCAAATTAAATAAATGTTACAAGAAATTAAGTAAATTAAACTTACAGTTCTAACTCTTCTATAAATCATAAAACTATTAGTGGTATTATACAATTAACAACAATTAAAATTGTATTACCTCTCTACAGGTTAAAATACAATTAAAACAGACATGTATAAAATATAATGCTGAATGGACTGTTATAAAATTACCATGTGGAATTGGTATGCGTTAAGTACATTTTACTTTATGACATCATCAAAGACCTCATAAAATAAAATGTAACAAATTTGTATACCTTCGAAAGTATACAACAGATTATCTTTTTTGGAAAATTTTTAATTGCAATATGTTCCTTAAACTTTATTTTATAAATGTCTATATCACTATGGAGGATCTGAATCTTTTTTATATAAGTCACTCAAAGGCAGTTGATTTGTTATGTTTTTTATTATTTGTTATGTTGCATTTTATTATTTAAACTTAGAGTTATTCCAAAATTTTTAACATATCTAGAACACTTTCAGAAAATACTTTTTTACATAAGGAAATTTATAATACTTGTTTTCATTAATTAAACTGTTGCACTTTAATTTATTTCTTATATATTTGTGAAACCATTTTGATAAAATTAACTTTGGGTAATTGTTGATGATAAACTTTGTTTAAATTTTTTACCATTATTTGCTGATCAATTACGTCCATAGTTTGGTATAAATTTTCCACAACTCCATTAAGTATATATTTTCTTTAATTTTTAATGGGCAGTAAGATTTATAGTTTCTCAACATTATATTCTTTTTTACAATTTAAAAATTTATATTGAAACTGTTAATTAATAATAATCACAATATCCAGATAATTTAGTCTCCAGTTAAGTTCTATTTCTTTTTCAAATTTTATATTATTATGAATATTAGAAGCTATATCTAAAATATTCTTTTCATTTATTTTCTTTGAGTATTAAAAGCTATCAAATAATCTGCATAGTGGACACAATCTGATTCCATCATTATTATTTAATTCATTATCTATTTCATTCATCACAATTTCTGCAAATTTTTGGACCCACTTTTAAGGAATTAATTTTTTAACACATTAAGTGCCATGTGTTGCAGAAATGCAACACACACTTTACACTGAAATCTTTACAATGTTATTTCAGAGCAACACTCTAGCCATATAAACATAATGAAAATAGATAAAGAATGGCCTGTGGAAATGAAAATTGCACTTGGCCCAGTAATGTTCTTTATGATGGAATGCTAATAAAAATTTCATTTTTATTCTTCTGCAAACTATGAAAAAATGTGCAAAATTTCCCTTTCCTAATATTTTTCTTGCACAATGAACATGAATAAATACATCATCATAAAAATATAATGCACAAAAACAAATATTCGAGAAACAATCTTTATTTTCTTTTAGTGAATAAAAACCATAAAAACAGTAGGTATATTATTTTAGTGATTATTCTATTTTTCTTAAAACTACATTATTACATGTTAGAGAAAAATTCTTTTTCCTACACAAAATTTATTTACAGCAGAATAAGTCATTTAAAAACATTTTCACATTATTATTATTTCTTTAATTTATCAATATCTGAAATTTATAAAAATTATTATTAGTTATATCCATTGATACTATCTACATCAGGGATGGTGAAGATTTGAGTCCATGTGCCATATAACAAGCATACTTATCTTTAAAAATATTTATGTGCACCAAAGTTTTAAAGTTTGAACAACGATATTTAAATAAATAAAGTGAATATGCTTTAATTAGAATAAATGAGAAGAAACTGATTTAAGAAAAAAAGGATAAGTAGATAATAAGCTGAAAGGATGACTGAAAAGACAGGTGATGAACCATAATTGTATTATACAGTTTAACCCGATTATAACGACATCGAATGTAACGACAACCCTAATATAACGTCAAATTTTTATCGGTCCCACGATTTTACTATACTAGATAATGTTAAAAAACCCACTTGTAACGACATAAAACCCTGTTTTAACGTCATATTTGAAGCATACTTAAATTTACAAAATTAAATTATAAATTTTATTTATCAAAGAAAATACTACGTGTTCGGTCCTAGGGTCTGAGTCCGCTTCCTAGAACGATTGTGGGTGGTACTGTCACCACCTGATTCGGTGGGGTGGGATGCGCCACCCCTTTAAACGATGTGACAATGGGTTAGTCTGCATAGCTCTCATACTCATGTTGTAGTTTAGCATCAAATCAGGTAAAATGGCTAGCTTAAAAAGAAAGCGTTAACGTTAGACTGCAAAGTAGAAATAATTAAAGCAGTTGAAAGTGGAAGAAAAAAGGCAGATGTATGCAAAGACTTTGATTTAGCAAATTCTACAGGTCTCATAAAGCTTCATCTGAAATAATGAACAAAATCTACGACTTAGAAAATGACACTGATAAACAATTTTTAGGTGAAAAATGCCTACAATCTACATGTAAAATAACTGACTTTTTTTAAGTGAATATTTTTATTGTTTCTTTTTTATTGATATACATTAATTTAACCTAAAAGTGAAAGATATTGGACTTCATGTCCATTGATAGATAAGCAAATGAGAAAATTATCATCCAGGTGTTATTAACGCCTGGATGATAATTTTCTCGTTTCTTGCTTAATTTAACTTTTTGTTGCGTTTTTATTGGACATTATTCTCTAAATCGAAAGTACCGCCATTATCGAAACTTAAGCAAGAAACGAGAAAATTATCATCCAGGTGTTATTAACGCCTGGATGATAATTTTCTCGTTTCTTGCTTAATTTAACTTTTTATTGTCTTTTGATTTGATATTATTCTCAAAACCGAAAGTGCCGCCATTATTGAAACTTGACAAATAAAAATTTCTTATAAAAAATAATTTTTGAAATTTTTAATTACATCGTTGTAAATTTAGACATAATAATGTAAATAAAGTTGATTTAAATATTTAGTTTGCACTTTTATACATACGATATTAAATTAGATGAATTTTATAATAGATTCTTAAACAGACTTGATACTTTTATGGGACTGAAATTATGACCCCGCAGATAACGACACTCGGTTATAACGTCAAAAAATTGCCGGNAGGCGTTAAAACCGAAAGTGCCGCCATTATCGAAACTTGACAAATAAAAATTTCTTATAAAAAATAATTTTTGAAATTTTTAATTACATCGTTGTAAATTTAGACATAATAATGTAAATAAAGTTGATTTAAATATTTAGTTTGCACTTTTATACATACGACATCAAATTAGATGAATTTTATAATAGATTCTTAAACAGACTTGATACTTTTATGGGACTGAAATTATGACCCTGCAGGTAACGACACTCAGTTATAACGTCAAAAAATTGCCGGTCCCATGGATGACGTTATAAGCAGGTTTAACTGTATCTTACATGCTAGATGGCTTGTACTACTTTGAGCATGCATGCTGTAAGTTTGCCACCTCTGGTCTGTATTGTATGAAGTCTCTGTGCTTCTATATCAGCAGTTCCCATAAAGATAAAGATGTTTAGTTATAAAGCTTATTTTAAAATCTAATTTTAAATATTATTACTTTTTCACTTTATTAAAGCACCACAGCATTTATATCATATATATTTATTTACACACACACAGTAAATAAGTGTATAAATTTGTTAAGCAGAAAACATTTTTTTTATAAGAGATATTTTACGTTATTTATTAAATTTAAATGATAAATTCTATCCAAATTTATTTTTAAAAATATATCCATTAAACTTACTTTAGCTGTCTCATGGTCTACTGGAAGACTGGAATAGAGTTCACATACTGGAAAAAAGAGTCATAAATGAGTATAAATAAAAGAAAATATTACATTTCATATTTCTATTGTAAAACTTATTTTTCTTAATTATTTCATAAATTAAAACTTTCTTGAGAACTTGGCACCCTAATAATATAAATAATAGCAATGCTTTCTTAAGATACCAAAATTATTTTACTTAGAAAAATTTTCATTCTTTTAAAAGAACAGCTTCAGCACCACTTTTGAATAAGAATACAGTTCATTAACAAGCTATGTCAAATCAAACATTTTAAACTGTATACAGAAGTATAAATTCTAATATTTTAAATTATTACATAAAAGTATAAAATTACCAAAATTAAATACAAGAAAACAAGTGTATTAATAATGTACAGTACAATAAAAAATAAATAAAGAAATCATGTACATTAAAACTGGAGAAGAATGCATCAGTGTGCATGATATTTATTAATTACTTTATCTCTACTTATTAGAATTTCAACAAAATTACTGATGTCTCTACCAAACATCAATAATTTATATACTGGAATTTCCATGAGAACATGATTTAATGAACTGAGAGATTTTCTTCTGGCAAAGATGGAGGGTGCTTATAAGTATCAATAATTTAATTTAATTTTTTAAATTTATTTGAAAGGAGTCTGAATTATTTATATTCAAATGTTTTTCAAAGATTAATATAATACAGATTTCTAGAATAATAAACTGAAAGATTTCCTTAATTCCTACATATCATTAAAAAATAAAAATAGAAAGTTTCATAGAACTGAATATAATATTGCTTGAGAGAACATATCTTACAATAACACAGATATACAGGTAACCCCCATATAACACAGCACTTCTATAGCACAGATTCACTCTAACACAGTTCTGGAATTGGGTAAAACCCTCGTACAACATGAAATGTAATAAAGGGTGCGTTCTTTTATACCTCCGTGTGAGCATTTAATTTTTTTTTTTTGGTGACTACTTTGAATGCTCTTTCAACAAATAATCCATTTAATGGTTAAATTTTACAATTGGGATCCTTCTTTTGCCTCTAAAAGCTCATATTTTAAAATTATAGATTCCTCCATCACGATACTATTGATAGTGCAGACGCTGCCATCTTTCTTTCTTTCACTGTCGTTCCCAAATGCCTACAAACAGCAGTGCACTCCTGTTGTAGTGGAGATGCAGAGTGACCACTAATTAACAAACACACCCAAAAACTGTTACCAGTTGATGATGCTCATACTGAGATCATCATATAGAATGAATAATCCTCTGGTAAAATATTTTCTTAAATAATAAATAAGTATTTTACCCATAAAAAAAATTAATAATAAATCCAATTTAAAGAAGGATTTACCAGCATGTTTTTTAATTATTGGAACATAACCCCCCTTTTCGCACTAGTTCTTTGTTTTGTATAACATGGATTCGCATAGCACGGCAATTTTTTGGAACATAACTCCCGTGTTATATGGCAATTACCTGTACAGACTTTCATTAACTCTAGAGGAAGTTTAGAAGTCTAATATAAAGTTTGTAACAATCACATTAACTATTGATGTGATTGAGTTATGAACTTTCAAATGTGATCTGAAAATCAATACAGTAGAGCATCAATTATCCGACCCCTGATTAACCGTCACATCGGTTAACCGACTGTTCTAGTCGGCAAATTCAAATGTCCGCTATTGATGTGGCACTACAATATTTGGCTATGTCTTAGCTACTTTAATAGTATTTTTACGTGTTTTAGCTGGCAACACTCATTCGACCATAAAAGGGTGCCAGTATTTAAATGAGGCTTAATTTTCTAATTTTTAATGATACAATAGCAACGATTATTATTTTAAAAAAATTTTTGTTAGGCTTAGCATCAATGAAAATTCAATGCGAAGTAGGTTAATAGCAATATACTAATATACTAATTACATGAGATATACTAATATACTATACTAATAATGTATTTTTTCATATTTTTCGGTTATCCATTTTTTCAGTTATCCGACCAACCCCAGTCCCCAATTGAGTCGGATAATCGATGCGCTACTGTAATTACATAAAACTATTCAGAACAATTTGGTAATTTTTCTTCTTTGTTTTAAACAAAGACTATTAAAAAGAATAAATTCAATAAATATAGAGATTATAAAATAAATTTCATTTCTTAAGATTTTTAAAATTATTTTAAAATATAAAAAGAAAATTAATACTTACTTTTAAGAATAACATCTTTTTGATTTCCATCAATTTCAGCAGATCTGAAAGGTGGTATATTTATATATAAATTTTTTTATTATAAAATTTTTTAGTAAATATCTAAAGTGTAATTTCTAGTATATAAACAATAAAGCCTTCCAAAAAATTAAAGATCCAAACAAACAAAAAAAAAGTCTGTTTCACATACAATCTGGGCCAATTTTTTAGTGACCTTTGAAAAAATGCCAAATTCTCTGATAAATTAAGGTATTACATCATACTATCTTCTAAACTTACTTCATCTTGAGAACAATGATCATGTTTTACGGTCAGACACCGAATGAATGAATGATTTTGTCAATAGATAACACTCAAGATATAAACTATCTTATAATCCACTTTCATATCCAAAATTAAAATTAAACATTTTTCCTCCCTTTTTCTGAAGCTTGTTTAATTTTTATAGATTTAATCTTTCATATTAAAAAAAATCAGATCCTTGAATTAGTATATGAATGAAAAAATTTACCTCAGCAATTTTATTGAGAACTGTAAGATGGCAGAAATTCTTATATTAGAAATACTCTTTAATAATAACATTTCGCGAATTACGCAACAATTGTTGTTCTTAGCTACCTGAGAAAGTCTCCCGTTACATTTTCTCGAAAGCAACATGACGCTTTCTCGTGAACTATTAACCTCTGCACGGCCGAAATCGTCCGTGAGTATCATCAGAGACGGCCGAAAAGAGTTGGTCGCTGCCTTAGTCCTCGGAGAGGAAAGAAGTCGTCCTCCCTTCAATTATCATCCATTAAGTAATCCAAATTAATCGCCATAGGATAAACTTGTCTGTGTGTGTGTGTTAGTGCATTGCCTGGATAACGAATCAGAACCCTGAAAAACCCATAGGAAACTCTTATTCACCGAATCAACAAGACCCGACCGGGACCTATTACCAAAGGTATTTATCATCCCGCGAATCGTATGTGAACTCTCTCTCTCCGCGACAACCCTTTTTCCAATAGATTTTTAAATAAACCCTTGTTAATTGTTAAGAGTATCTGAGTCACTTCCAATGTTGTCTCTCGAATCGATATTACGAATCCGTCTGATCACGTACGGGACCGCTCGCTTGACGGCGTGACGTAATCGCCGTCTCGGTTTCCGTGTTTCGAGAAACACGGTGGTGTCAATCCTGACAGGGTACCAAAGAGGTGCCGACCCAAAAGGTCACAGAACTACAATAGTTTGTTTTTGTTTAAAAATCTTTGCAAATCCTATTACTGTAAGAAATTTAACTGATTATTGATAATTAAAATCTAATCTATATCAATGTGTTCACAGAATAAAGAAGAAATAATTACTGGTAATTCTACAAATCTTTACATGAATTTTAAAGTATTTTTATAATTTTATCACCTTCCATTTGAGATATATTAATTTCCTAAAAATTAAATGATTAATTTTTCATAAATAACTTTTTGGGATATTTTTAAAAACTTCCAATACTCAATTTAAATCATACAATCTAACAATTATATTTGATTCTAGATCAGGGATTCTCAGAAAACATTTTCCATGAATGCATATGCAGATATGGAAAATGATTCATGACTATACTTGTGAAAATTCAATAAGGATCTCTTGCAATAACATCCATGTTGTTCTGTTTTTAGAATTTTATTACCCCAAGATAAACTTCAGTTTAAAATTGTCTAAAATGATGAATGTATTGACGATACTTAATAAGCGAAAAGTTACGAAAGATACAATAGCTCTGTAACAGTTGCAATAACTTTTTTTGGTAACGCATTTGAGAATCCCTGTTCTACACTGATCTAATAAAATTTCATTCAAATATGAAAATCTTAATTGATTATTACCTTTTATAACACTGAACAGCAGCTTCTAAATTATGTTTTGCTTCATGAATTTGTCCCATTAATTTATGGCCAAGTGCATGCATTTCTCTCACACTTAAGAATCCAGATAAATATCTATAATATTAAAAAAAGTTAAAGTTATTACATTTTCTTTATATTAAATTTTATGAAAGAACTCATATAAAGCTATCTTTTCTCTTTCCAGTAGTTGCAAGCTAATGTTTTTGGCCTACTTAATAGGCCCTGTTATGCTCCATAATCTAAATAACTTAGTATTGATACAAGCCTAATATCCTATTATAGATGTCACTTAATAGTTTTATTCAGTAGTAGAATAATTTACATTTAATTTTAATTGACACAGCAAGGTATACTCTTATAAGTAAAACATTTTCAAAAATGCAAAAACAATTTTCAAATGTAAGAGCAGGCTCCTATTTGCATGCAAATACAGTAAGATCTTTAGAATTTCACAAAATAAGAAAAACTTTATATGATTTGTTTTTCATTATTCTTAAAATGATGAGATTACTATTCTTTAAGATTAATAAAAAAAAACTCGCCAATAAATTATACATTATGTAAAAAGTCTCCTCCCCTTATGCAAGGAAAACTATCTGATATTAAATATATTTCAAAATTTTTAAAACACTCTCACTTTTTTGTAAATTAAAATTACAGAAAAATATTTTAGTCTTCTCAATTTCACACTTATTCATACACTACTAATTCACACTAGCTGCTTAAACATACAACAATCTGAAGATAGTCTATTTACCTTTTGGCCATTTCATATTCTTTAATTTGAAAATAAAGCCGAGCAAATGTATAGCCGCGCAGATTCCTCTGTAAAATAAAAAATTTCACTTATATTTTATATTATTTTTAATTTAAGTTACAGCATTAAAAAGTAAAACATTTCTAATATAGTAAAAAATAAATATAGCTAACTATATTGAGATTCAGGACATTATACAGTGGTGCCTTGGAATTTGAATGCCTCAGAAGGCAAACAACTTGGAATCCAAACAAGTTCTTTGAGGAAATTTTGTCCAAGAAGTCTAACTTTTCTTGGAACTTGAGTATAAAAATGGCCATACTATACAATGTATGATATCTGCATGGGTACTTGTGCAGACGCGTTGCCAGATTGGCTTAATTTTTGTGCTACTTGCTACTTTTTGAGCCACTAAACAATTTTTAGGCTAAAAACAACAAAAATTCATTGATACACATTTGAAACGTGTATTAAATGCATATCTTGAAAGTATTATACCAGCTGCACACAGTTCATCTACTATATTTTATGCATTATTTACTTTTCTTGTTGTCTTTAATCTATTATTATTATTTTCATTGTTTTATGCATTAATTGTGGAATTTACATGGGCTATTTTAGCTTAAATCATGATATTTTAGAATTAAAATAGGCATTTTTGGGATTTGGGAACTGATTAATTCATTTTATGTTATTCTTTATGGGAAAAATTGCTTTGGAACTTGAACACCCTCTAGAAACAAATTGAATTCAAGTTCCAAGATATCACCATACTGCCTGTCTCCAGCTGACATAATAAAAATAACTTATATAAATTATTTATACATCTAAAATAAAACTTCAGTTGGAATATTTGGATAAAATAACTGATAACATGAGAAAGGTTGATATGGTTTGAAAGAATTCAGAACTGTTATACTCTTAATCTACTTTTAGCTTACAGAATTCTAAAATTAATAAAAAAATTATAAATGATTTAATACAAATACTCAAACTGGGTATATGTAAATAAGCACTACACACAACACTAATATCCAACAAAAAACTACAAAATTAAACCAAACCTCAAAAGAATAATGGCAAGTTTCATCAATCTTTGTTAACATGTTTTCAAACGATTACTTAAAAGAATCAATCAATGTTTCATTAGATAGACTCATTTCATCAATCTTCTTCAATTCAATTTAGTGAACTGTTTCTTAACAGCTTCTCAGTTCTAGTATCAATAGTAGTGCTATTCCAATAACTGATAAATCAAAATTGATAAACATTTACAATATTGACATTGTAGAAAAATACAAAAGATTTGTAATTCAATATATGTTAATTATAATAATAAACAACTCTACTTCTTTCAATGTAATAATTTCCCTGGCTGTCAGAAAACAGCATTAATGTGTCAAAAATTCTGGAGGGGGGATTTGTTGCATTTCTCACAATTAGTGCTGTGCCAATAACCAATTTATCAAACTAAACCTGATAAATTTTTTACAATATCAATATTCTAAATATTTATTCATTTCAGTCTGATATATCAGTTTCGAACACTTGGGCAAGAAACTCCTCCAGAATTTTTAATACACTAATGCAATTTTCTGACAGCTGAGGAAATTATTACATTGAAAATAGTAGAGTTGTTTATTATACATAATTAAAAAATACTGAATTATTGATACTCAACATTGTCGATAAAAGTCAGTATTTTATCAGTTTTGGTATTTATCAACCTGGTCCCTACCGCCCACTAGTGGGCGATTTGAGCTTTTGTGGTGGTCGATAGAGGTTTTGTCCGATGCCGAAGCTACTTTTTGTTATCACCACACATCTACGACTCAGGTTATACTTTAACAGTGGCACTCAAGTTGAGCTCATTTATGGTGGGGTTGGCACTGCCAGAATTAGCTACTTTTTTCAGTTTGACATAAAAAAACACTTTGCGCACTGGCAAAAAAATTTCCATGTATTATAAAGATATGCAAAATATAAATAAAAAGATAAATTTAACTACATATTTTTACTAAACCGCCACTCAAAAATTACAAGTACTTTGCAGTTTTGTTAAATTAACTTACTGCGGAACCAGCAGGTGGTTAGGAAATTTTACTACCGACAAAGATACAAAAGTGGGCGGTAGGTATAAAAAGGTTGACTATCCCTGATCTAGAGTATCAACATTTAATAATATATTTTGATATTCAATATTTTTCAGTATTTGTATAGCAAATGAATCTCAGTTTTAAGCCCAATATCAATATTGGTGTCAAAATTTTGGTTACCACAGCCCTAATCAGAAGATACTGTTGGTTCTTTAATAATTTCATCTTAGCTCTCTGATGTCAAATGTAATTACTGAACAGTGCAGTATGACTGAACTAAAACTGAAATGAGTAGGAATCTCAAATTGTACAAATGTACAGAAGAGTATTGTTGATTTAATTCAAAAGTATCAATATAAAGGTATAAATAATAAATACAATTCTAATTTCTTAAAACCACCATAAAAATCTGCTTTTTTAGAATTCATTTACACTGAGTAAATATGAGAAAGCTCCAATAAATCAGTTTTGCTATGTAAAAGTATAATTGAAAATATACAAACTGAGTGTTCCAATTAAACTAAAGAAAACACAAAAAACTTTCACTCTATTTTTACCCAAAATTGTGGCTTAACCTGTAACAAAATTGCTTAATTATTTAATTAACTTGGATTAGTTTGGTTTATTTGCTTTTGGCAACGTGACATGTGGGTGACCTGCCAAAGGAGGATGCTTCTCAGGACTTTCTATTGGAAATTGACACCTATTTAGGTGTTACTAACATAAGAAAACTCATAAACTCCACATGGCCAGCCTGTTGGCCAGGCAAGACCAACCACCAATATTCAGTAGTTTTATCCACTCAAGCCACTGGTGGGCATTTAAATTAGTCTTATCATAGTCTGATAAGAATTTAGCTTTACTGTTTAATTAATAATGTTTATTGCCTTGATTGTATATGTAATTACTTGGTTTTAACACAAATGCATGTGTTAATAAAAGAATGGTAAGCCAATAACCATTCAAAAGTTCAAAACAATTGATATTTTTGAATGATAAATATTGAATGATAAATTATTTGAATGATAAATATTTTTTATGGATCTATACTTTCAACATAATATACAACAGCTCTGAATCAAAGCCATCATTATCTTCCATTTTGATTTCAAGCAAATGAGCCATTAGAAACATCAAGGCTTCAAAACTGAATCTCGAAAATAGTCATCAGTTTAATGCTTTGTTAACATTAAGGAAGTTGAATTAAATACTTTCAGCTGTTAAACAGGTTTAATAGGTCAGTTAAATTTTAAAAAAAGGTTAATGAAACTGGTCATAATTCTCATCAGCATTCATGTCCTAAGCTCTTTCTACATACTTTGTCAAAAAACATATTTATTGTTCAGCTACATTTGACATTTGGTATAGTTTAATCTAAATTATGTTCCTATGTCAAAATTAAACCAACTAATCTTCTCTTTCACACTCTAATGGTAAATATTTATCTCATGTGCTGTCATATCTTTTGCCCTTTTCTGTTCACACTCATTCATTCAGCATATTTACAATAGCATTTATCATAGTGTGTTACACAAGCTCATTCTGGACAAATTTCTTTGAAATAAAATCTACTTTCAGTTACCTACAAATTTTTTCCTTCAATTTATTTTTATTTAATATTAAGTGTACAGTACATAAATAGCAATATTTATACTATTTTTTCAATGCTTCAAAATCTGAGATTCTAAAAAGTTTTAGTTATTTAACCATAAATATACCACTTACTCTGACTCAGCCTCTTAAGCAATATACTAGATACACCCAACACACCTTATTGCTGAGAACATATATTTATTAAACAAAACAAACATTTTCAACCCAATTTATGGGCCATCTTCAGGTTAACATTGTTCGACTCTAATACAAAATCGAAAACGTTTGTTTTGTTTAATAAATATATGTTCTCAGCAATAAGGTGTGTTGGGTGTATCTACCATAAATATACTTTTTATTACAATAATTAAACAATATATAATATATATTTTATTTTATATATCAAAAAGACACCGTGGCCAAATAGGCCTTTTTCAAGTATCTTCAAACAATCAATCAACAAATAGAACAAAACAGTAAAATGGTTAGTCAAAATAATAACCAATGTGGGCTGATTATTTTACATTATTTTTGTAAATCCTTTTAAATTAATTAGTAACAATCACTATAACTTAAATCTTTTACATTGTTTTTTGTAGATTTTGTAACTTGATATCTCTCTTAAATCTATGCATTTGGAGCTAGAACTATTTAAAATGACTAAGACAAAACCTTTCTCACTTTGTTTCTAGCCATTTACACACTTTGTCTTAGTCACTTTCTTAAATTGTTACTCAAACTATTCCAATAGGAAATCATTTGGAAAATCGGTACAGATTTTCCCACTGTAAGTTTAACAATTGGAAGATTATATCCATAGGTCTTACCGTATTACGAGTATTCCATGTCTATACATTTTGATGTTTACCTATTTTGTTTCTGAGACAGCTGCTTTCCTTCTTACCCTTTATAAATTTATAACTCTCTAACAGGACTTGTTTCATGTAAATTTCGCATAACCTATCAATATTGCCAGTGCGGTAGAGTTCCGATACTGATTCCCTGAAATGCAGATTATGAATTGAACAAATGAAGCGATTTTGTACCACCTGAAGTTTATTAATAGCATATAAAGATGTGGTTCCCCAGACTATAATTCCATATCTTATTTTGGATTCCATGCATATATGGGTATAACTGCTTCAATTGTAATATACTTAATTAAAAACTTTTGAATTTTTTTATATATCCTAATATATTTTGCCAAGGATAAAGCAATGTCTTCTATTTGTCAGTTCCAGCACAGATTATCATCAAATGTTATCCCTAAGAACTTTATAGCTTTTACCCTTTCTATGTTATTTTCAGTTACTTCAATTTTTTGTGCTCAAGATTAGTTTTTATTTCTATTGGCAAAAAAGAAAAGTTTTGTCTTGTTT